GAGAACTGTATATGGGATATTTATACTAGACACTATGGCATTAGTCATTAGTACGTATAAGTCCCTGTTTTTTCTCTCTCTGTCTCTCTCTTTCTACATTATCTCTCTTGAAGTATGCAGGTAACCCCAAGATCTTGCCACACTCCCATGACGCTGGAGAAAAACAACTGGTTAGTTGAAAGGGAGGCACCTTTTAGGAAAAAACTACAGTATAAACTACCAAATGCTAGCTAAAAATACTCAGGTCAGAATTTCCATAAATATGATCATGACTACAATGCTGACACCTGACAAAAAAAACAAGTGGGCCATCTTATTTCTCCGTGTTATTATATACCATCTTATGTCAACCGTAAGGAACATGTTATCGGAAATTCAAACGAAACATCCATTAACATTAACATTCATCATCGACGTTCATTAGCCATCAATAACGATCATTCCCCATATTAATTCATAGTCAATAACCCATAAAAAACATCCCAAAATATTTTTGTTTTTTAAAAACAAGATTAACATCTCAAAACCTAATCTTTAACTTGGAACATCCATTAACATCCATGAATTTAAGTTCGTCTGAAAGGAGAGTACCCAATATTTTTTGATGCTAGATGATTGTTTTCCGATTTAACACAAACATATATCCAATATATACCAATTTTCCAACACTTACCGCAAGGTCTCACACAACTTGGATTTGCTTGAGGACACCCCGCAACAACAAAAAAACATATGGGTATGGATCAATACCTATTAATGCCATTTTTAGTGGGATGAACATCCATTTACCAGCTATTTTGATGTTCACCAGGGGTACAAGGTTTTGACACACTGCCATATATTCTCAAGATTCCCCAGTTGTTTTTTTTCTGGATTTCCGGGAACATCGATGAACAATCATCGACTCAGCAAAGGTGATGGAACATGATGGAACAATGAGGACCACTATAGAACCACTATAGAATCCAGATGGAAAAGAACTTTGGTTGTTGATATAGCAAATCAGCAAATCATCATTGATAGATTATGAAAAGATATTCAGCAAATCATTATACTTTAGGTCTGGTTCCAGAACCATCTGGTTGGTGGTTTGAACCCCTCTGAAAAATATGAAAGTCAGTTGGGATGATGAAATTCCCAATGTGATGGGAAAAATCATCCAGCCATGTTCCAAACCACCAACCACTTATCTATTATTGTAGATGATTTATTATGATTTACCTATTAAAAATGGTGATTTTCCATAGCTATCTTAAATAACCAGATGACCCAATTATCCAAGTATCATACAATGTGAGCCCCCCAAGATAGCTAAGTTGGTGAACATAACTTCAATAACTATATGGTTTATGATACTTATAACTTATAACTATAGTTACTGGAGCGTTTGTTAACCAACGTTCACATAACTGGGGGGCCTCACATTGTAACCATAAATGACATTAATCACCATTAACCAACATCATTAACCATTATTATCCTTGATTGACCATCATTAACCATCATTAATCACCAGTTGGTTGTTTATTGGGGATGACCTCCGCCAAGGTCTCCCGGCGGCTCCGGCCGACTCGCCCAAATGGATCCACCTCGCCGGGCCAGCAGCGAGGCGAGGCTAATGTGGTCTTTCTGGGTATATGGATATATGTGATACCTACTATGTTGGTGTTTGTTTGGATATTTTTGGGATATATATATATGTATATATATAACATATCATATATTATATATATAACATTTGTATATATATTTATTTAATAAACAGTATGAATTTGGATCTGTCTCAAATTGCTGATACCCCGAAATTGTTGGAATCGGGAAGGCATGATCATAAACCATCACATTTGGGGGTGCCCCATTTACAGATATAGCCATCTGGAACCCATGGAAAAAGGCTATATCCCATCTGTGCATGTTCGTCAGTTAGGATCCCTGGAACAAGCTCACTTATAGACTCCCATGAGAAGCATGGACAATGTTACTTGAGGGCGCGTCCCAGTTGGTAAGTGGGCAATAACCATACTATAATTACCCCATATATAATTATATGTATATATACATACATATATATATATAATTATATATACATGTGGGTTATAAACCACTTATTAACTGCGATCCGTATCCAAGTACATACCCTGCAGTTTTGTGAAAGCTGGTTAGTCCCTCTCTGCATCCTTGTCAGGTCACCCTGCCCTCGCTGTGCTTTAATTCAACGAGAAACAGGTAAGAATAAATTGAGGCTCAAGATCAGCAGCAGCAATCAACAGTATGGATTTGTCTATAAAAATAAGGCCATCCCAACATTTGATATAGCATAGTAACATGTTGACTTCAGAATCAAATAATCCACAACTAATATATATATATATATATATTATACGTATTATTATTGCTATAATATATATATATATATGTGTGTGTTTAATCATCCAATATATCTATTTTAAAAAATGGGATAATCTCAATGTCTCGTATACGCATAATCCTGTTGAATTGCACATTCAAATTGCTAGTTTGATGAAATTTTCAAATTTGTTAATATGCATCCGCAATGTACATTTGGCGGTGCCCCAGAGTTAGCTAAGTTGGTGGGACAAAACTACATTATATAATAGGCAAACGCCATGGTAAACAACGGTTTATGGTACCCTCTGGTAATTTAACATAGCCATGGTATACATGGCCCATTTATAGATGGTTTACCTATTAATAGCATGGTGATCTTCCATGGCTATGTTAAATAACCAGATGGTAGATATATTGCACTAGGTAATGGGGCTTATAAACCAACAACACAAGTAGAGGCCACCACCGTGTAGCAAAAGACTGAATTACGAAACTACGCGGAAAAAAATTGACATCACCTCAGAAATACCGTATACCCTCTAAACTAACATATGGACAATCACCATGTTTGATAGATAAATCTATGCAAATCTATGAGCCAAATGGCCATGTTCAATGGCAAACTGCAACAAATTATCAGAGGGTAACCGGCACAGCCGCCCTCAGCAAGTGACTCGGCGATGGTGCCAATGAAGCCGACGAAGTCTAACAGCATCACTTTCCAGTGAAAGGTGCACCTGCCATGCGGTAACCGTGTCGGGCGCCGGGCGCCAATGAAAAATATGATTTAGAAAGTGGTTAGTACATGGGCAAGCAGTTTCCCCAGTTATAAATGGAATAACCTACTTAGGGGATTTAGATGGATTTGGTAACTACCCTCTGGTAATTTAACATAGCTATTGAACATGGCCAATAGAAATAGTTGATTTTCCCATGAAACATGGTGGATCTTTCCATAGTTTTTTGTAAACGTTTACCAGGCCGGGTAAGTGGGATGATCCTCAAAGTACTCGGATCCAAAATTGGAAGCTTCATCGGGAAACATGTTAAACATGATGATCCAATGAATGACTATTTCACAGAACCCCAGTTAAGATGATTTAAACAACCCATGCCTAAGCCATCCAATGCCATCCCATGCCTAAGGAATCAATCACTTTGACATTCAATGGATTGGTTTAATTAATTAATTAAGGGAAAATATTCACCGGAAACCAGCGATTTTCCCATGAAGATCATGGGGTTTTCCTGTAAATTTTCCCTTAAACCAATCCATTGAGACATACTTTGACAAAAAGTGGAGCTAGCAATGGAAACATAACATACATAACGGGATACTATTGTGGGTCTCCAAAGCCAGTTGCTGGGGGTTTCGAATGGAATCACACATTGGCAGGGTCATTCTCAGTAATTTTTACCATCCAATTTGGGGGCAACCTGTATCATTTGACTCTTGCCAATGTTTCTGGCTGAATTTTACAAATTCACCAGCCTGAAGCTTGCAGTTGTCATACAGCCATTTTGAGATGATTCCCCATGAACCATCATTCCAGTGACGGAAAACCACGTCATCGGTCTAAAATTCATCCAGGTCCACCCGGGATCCTGGGGTCCTGATGGTCCTGGGCGAGACCTGAGCAGTGCCGGCGCGCACTTTTTCCACCCAACTGCGTCGAAAACCATCGACAGAGTAGACGACTCTTCAGAAGCACCCAGCAAAACAGATCAACACAGTACAAAGAGATACACTTTTTCCATGCGCAGTTCCGGAAAACCATTTAATTCAGGCTGAGTTCAACTTTCCAACTTGAGATGTTTGGCGGCCACCATGGTCTCTTCTCTGGTGCATCGTTCCCCTGCTTTGCAGGAGGCATTCAGGACCCAGGAGCGAGGTAACAGTTATGCTGGGTCTTGAAGTCTTGTCGTTTTTTTTTTCGCTAGCTCCATGGGCGGAAATTCCATTGGGAAGAGTTGTCCCAATAGCAACGCAACCATTTTTGCAATCGGACTGCGGCTCTAGGGCAGATGCTAGCAAAGCCAAGAACTTAAGATTCAACAGGATCTTCAAATTGTGTTTTTTTTTAACAACTAAATTTAGGATATATATATATATAATTCTCTAATTAAGTGGGGAGTGGGGATCCTTACAAGAGTCTGCCACACGCACCCTTAGAACAAGCACATATAGAGATACATTAGATTCATGTCAACCTAGCGGGGGGGGGGCGTCGAAAGTTATTAAATGGATGTCAAGGATATCAAAATGGCAGCCCCGAATTTAAACCAACCAGAGGAGTTTTAAGTATGTAATCCTGTTTTGACATGGAAGACAGTCAAAATCAAAATATGTTTGCCAAGCTTTTGCACAGGCCGAATCCGCATCCATCTTGTGCTCAACTGTGAAACAGTGATACGAACAGAAACGCACTTATGTTGGAGGATGTGGGCTTGTGCCCTGAAAACAGGGCCAACAACAGCCAAAACAAAGCAATACATCTCAACACAACCGAAAATTACCGTCACGTTCTCAACTGTCTCCAGTCTCCCAGACAAAAACATGGGTAGATACAACAGTCAGGTTCCGACCCGCATGACCCACATCCCCCAAAAAAAACGGCTACCTTCCGCCTATTTTTCGATGCGGTCCCCGGTCAGGTGTCCAGGGACGTGAGCATTGCCACGCCACGCTTAATCCAATGGGCTTCGTCGACGTCGCTGATGATTTTGATCAGCATCACAAAATTCGTGGAATGACCTGGGCGCCAAAGCACCGCGGTACCGCGGAAACCAGGCCAATGTGGGAGAACTTGTGTTCATGCATATGCATATGTGATATTAGATGCATATAATTCATATAATATTTTATATATACAACATGTGATATATAATAGAATATAACATTATATTATATGTTTAATATTATATAATATAACAAAATATTATTTAATAATTACAAAATAATATAATATAGTTTAATATAATATATATATATTGACTTAATTGACATGGATTTATTTTCCTTGATTTTAAGGATCCAAATGATTTTTTCCAGCCGCCGTGCCTGTGGTCGATAGGACGCCCTTACGTGTTGAGACCTGCAGTCCAGCCACAGAACCCTTGGTTGATTGATGAAAGGGCTACTCTTTAATACATCATGGATATATATATATATATTATAGTTATTTATACATACATATATATATATATACATATGCACAGTTATGTATGTATATATATATATAATGTACCCTCTGGTAATTTAACATAGCTATTGAAAATTGCCATTTATAGTGGATTTACCCATTGAAAATGGTGATTTCCCATAGTTATGTTAGTTTACCAGAGGGTATATGATATATATATATATATATGTATAACATCAAATTGATTGTTGATTAATGACATGGTTCTTCGATCCTCAATTGAGTCGATGGAGATCTTAATCCAGGCTTGGCAATACTTGACAACACATTTTTTGTTTTTGACATGTTTTGACCACTACGCATGGATACAACTATGATCAAACCATGGAGGCTGCAAAAAATATGTTTGTCTGGTCACAATTTCACACCACTCAGGAAGCAACATTTTTGTTTATAGTTTTTCATAGGGACCCTTCCAGTGTTTTCAGTGATTCAGTTCCCAAATTCTTTGCGCCCAAAAGTGTTGATCGAATTGTGTGATATGAACAAGCCTGTCTGAGGAAGCATCTGCAAGCGAGGTCAAAGCCTTAAGACCAAACCAATGATACTAGCTGGGACTGTACTGGCTAAAAAATAATGTTTCACCATCAACACTCAACCTGCAAGCTTCCAGGATTGTGTTTTGCAGTGTCAGGAAACTCGATGAAACAGTGATGTTCCTGCTGTTCACTACCTGTGACGATGGAACATAAAAAATCCTTACCCGAAGTATGCCGAAAGCATGGCGATAGCCAACCCTTTGAAATCGAAATTGCTTAAAGGCCAAAGAAAACTATAAGGTTGAGAATGGACGAGTCTAACCATTGAGATCGCCGGGATATCTGAAAAGCAAAAACTCACATCAACAAACGCATAACTTGGTTGGCACCCAACATGCACCAACCATCTGGGTCATGTAGGGATGATCCACCATAAACCATGATTCCAGTGATGTCATGACTTGAGGTCATGATCAAATTCATCAAAATTCTAATTATACCATTATATTCCAATTATATTGCAATTATAAATTTTATATCCCAAGTATAATTTCTAATTTTTATATCCCAATTATATTCCAATTATACCATTTTATATCCAGAAAGGGACGCTCTCAGTCCCCACGTTTCTCAGTCCCCACGTTTCTCAGTTCCCACGTTTCCACATGTCTGGACAGACGACGTGACAGATTACATATGAATCTTTGTTAGGAAAAATGTTACGTCTACGGAATTCATGCTTATGAATCTGTAGTGTCACTAACAAGCAGACTTGAGGAACACCTGACTCTGATTATATTTCTAATTCACAGGAAAGAAAGAGCCACACAGAAAACAAACGAAAAAAAAAATAAAATTGGGCTGACCCCCCCCCCTCCCCTAGATGGGCTATCTTGGCTATCTTGGTGGCTCTAGGTGGCTCTCTGGGCCATCTTGTCTGCTACAGCCTCATATGGTATTCTTATGGGACTTCCACTGCGTTCTTATGGGATTTCTATGGTATGTCTATGATATTTCTATGGAATTTCTATGGGATGCCTGAGGGAAATCTATGGTATTCTTATGGGATTTCTTTGTGGTTCCTATACTATTTCCATGTTATATCTATGATATTTCTATGGGGATTTCTGTGGGATTTTCCATGATATGTCTATGATATTTCTATGGGGCTCCTATGGGATTTAAACAGGATTTCTATGGTACTTCTATGATATGTTCAGAGGATTTCTTTGGGAATTCTATGGGATTTCCATGAGGTGTCTTGAGAATGTCTATGGTAGTTCTATGATATTTTCTATGGGACTTCTATTGGATTCCTGTGGGGTTCCATGGTAGTTCTATGATATTTCTTTGGGACTACTATTGGATTTCTATGGGATGCCGATTGTATTTCTATGGGATTCCTATGGGGATTCAAAAGGATGTATGTGGGATTTACATTGGAATCCTATGGGATTTCCATGATGTTTCTATGATATTTCTAGGGGATTTCTATGGGATTTCTGAAGGGATGCTATGAGTTCTATGGTATTCTCATGGGAGTCCCATTGGATTACTATGGGGGTTCTAAGGTGTCTTTGTGATGTTTCTATGGGATTTCTTTGGGATTACAATGGGGTTCCTATGGCATTCCTATGGGAGTTCCATGATGTTTCTATACTTCTATGGGATTACTATGGGATTCCTGAGGGAATTCTATGGGATTCTTTAGGGAATTCTATGGGATTCTTTTAGGATTTCTTTGTGGGATTCCTGTGCTATTCCATGTTAATTCTATGATCTTTATATGGGATTTCTGTGAGATTCCTAAAGGATTTCTATGATATTTCCATGGGATTACTATGGGGTGCCAATTGAAAGGAAGTTGAAACCATTTCAAAATAAATTCAAACTAAAATGAAAAAACAACATCCAAACATTTTTTTCAAGGGGGTAGTCCATGAGCAAGAGATGAATTAAGACCAAAGGTTTCCCAAAAAAGATGAACTTCAGCCAACCAACAAAATCCATGAATGACAATGATCTTCAATAGTATGTTTGTTGTGGTGGTCCTCTATTGTGTCCAGCTTTTTTTTGGCAGTAAACATTTTCCAAAATCATGTTCTCCTTCCCTTTTCCTTTGCTAATACGTTTCTCTTTTTTACTTTCTTAGCTCATTCTTTTGGAATTCTCAAAATGTCTAAATGAAAAGTTTTTTCCTAAGGGTGAGCTTCAGCCAGCCAAGGGATTTCCATGGGATGTCTGTGAAATATATTTTGGATTTCTTTGATATTTCTATGGTATGCCTATTGGATTTCTATGGTATTCCTACGGAATTTCCATGATGTTTCTATGATATTTCTGGAGCATTTCTATGGGATTTCTGAAGGAATACTATGGAAATTCTATGGTATTCTTATGGGATTTCCAATGGATTCCTATGGGATTTCTATGGTGTTTCTATGATGTTTCTATGATATCTCTATGGAATTTCTATGGGATGCCTGAGGGAAATCTATGGTATTCTTATGGGATTTCTTTGTGGTTCCTATACTATTTCCATGTTATATCTATGATATTTCTATGGGGATTTCTGTGGGATTTTCCATGATATGTCTATGATATTTCTATGGGGTTCCTATGGGATTTAAACAGGATTTCTATGGTACTTCTATGATATGTTCAGAGGATTTCTTTGGGAATTCTATGGGATTTCCATGAGGTGTCTTGAGAATGTCTATGGTAGTTCTATGATATTTCTATGGGACTTCTATTTGGTTCCTGTGGGATTCCATTGGTATTGTTTAATATGATGTTTCTTTGAGACTAGGACTAGAAACTTAATCAGTGATAAATAACTAGAAAAAATAGTAAAAAAACAGCTAAAAATCACGTAAAAACTGGGGACCCACAGCGTCCCACACTCCAGATATCCCAGTTCTCTCTGTCCCTAGTTCACCAACCTTTCACCAAGAGAGCCAAACAAAAAGCCCCGTTGTCCGCCGCCGCCGTCTGCCTTGTAGCAAGGGCATTCGTAATGCGCAAACTCTCGCTGTTTGCTCTTCTCCTTGGTGGTTCGCCGCTTCGCTCCGTGCAAAACGTCGCTCAAAAAATGCTTCAGCAATAAGAAGTCACAAATATGAAGAAAACAATAGAAAACATAATGTACCATAATACTTACTATCTTTTCGACATCATATGAGTGCGATATATGACTGATGCCAAGCGAAATCAGCTGTTGGTTCATCCCACTGCCAGCCCCAAAACAGTCACATATGTTTTCACCCAGAGTGTGGAGCCCTAAAACCTAACATGCAACTTAAGCATGATCGAAAACCAAGAAATTGATAGAAATTGATCTTCAGGGTCTGTTTTTCCATCTGGAAATGCACATTAAATATCATGATTTCGTTGATTCCACGTGGGAGCTGCCTGTGCAGCGCCAAGCCACACAAGGCATGAGGTGAATCAAAGGCACGCTTGCCTGGCGCCACGGACGGAGCCTCCATGGTGGATCATATCAGCTATGACCAATGTGAGGACCCCAAGATAGCTAAGTTGGTTTATATATGGTACTTATAACTATAGTTACTGGGGCTTATAAACCAACAAACATAACTGGGGGGCCTCACATTGACGCAAAATACCAGTTATAAGTTACAGTCATAGTAAGAGGTTGTTTTTTGACCCCCACTTATGATTTTTTATGGCTAGTTATAACTTATTAACATCTTATAACCCCATGTTGAAAACATTTCATAAGTATAAGTTGCTGGTTGTTTCAACCCCTCTGACAAATATTAGTCAAATGGGATTATTGTTCCCAATAACCCAGTATATGGAAGAATATCAAATGATCCAAACCACCAACCAGATATAAGTTACTATAAAAATCACTGGTTTCTGGAACTTCAACTGTGCACCACCAATGGATCACAAAGAACCATCCCGAGCTCCACCCGCTCGCTCCGTCCAAGTGGCATAAAGTACCTTGGGCTCGGACTCCGCCAGTTTCCACTCGGTCCAATCCCAACGGCACGCTTCAAAGAACAGACCGTAGGTGTAGACCCCGTCCTTAGCTGAATGGGGCCATGGAAGATTGATGTTTTTAGATTTGTTTTTTTGGATTAACAGTCATCCAACATGGCAACATGGCTAACATAAGTGTCTTAAATCAAAGGGATTCAAAGGGTATTATGGCAACATGGCTTCCATAACTTGTCTTAATCAAAGGGCATATATGATTATCTTGATTCACTCGGATATAGCTGAAACATGTTGAACACTTCTGGCTTTCTAGTTGGGCTCTATGTTTAAGAGTTTTTTCTTCGGAGTTGCCGCCATTGCATATAGGCGAACATCCTACCGATGGTGGAATAAAGTGAGAAGTGGATCCAACAGGTAACTACCTGCAACTTGAAAGATACTGGCGCCTGTAACTTATGTTGATACCCTCTGGTAAACATACTTACAAAAACTATGGAAAGATCCACCATGTTTATTCATTTTTCATGGGAAAACTCACTATTTCTATGGCCATTTTAACCATAGTTATGTTACATTTCCAGAGGGTATCAGCTTCCACGAAGATTCCCCCAAGAAAATCACCAGCCAGTCATCTATGTCATCCCTAGTCATCGGTCACCTGAGAAGCGCCATCCAAATCCAAGCAGCATCTGGCTTCACCGTGAACTCTTGTTCCTAGGGCTGGTGGTTTTTCGAGTCTGAAAATTTCGAAAAATGCAGTTTTTTTCAGCAAAAACATGGTCGTAATATTCTGTGCACACATAGAATTAGAATGATGCAACAATTAAGAAAACAAATGCCTAGGATAGTCAGGATATATATATATACATGGAAAATCATGGAAATAGTATCCGATACTCTAATATTCTTTGAAGGCTTGACATGTTGACCCATGCCCATGCAAGCTTCGAACAAATGTGGCTTCGTAGGTCGTTCAAATCCGGGGATCCAAATCACAAAATGGTAGTCGGAGATCATCCCGACTTCCATTGAAACATATTGGCACAGAACAGAACCCAGAACTGCGGAAAAAAAAATATGTTTTCATATGTTTTCTATGTATAGAAAATCATCATCATTTTTTTAATATGAACTTTTCTATGAAAGTCATTGGGGATCATCTATGAGCGATGATCCAAAGGCCACCGTTCATCATCACACAAACACAGCACACATTTCCAGGCCTTGGGATAGAAAAAGTCGAAGGTCAATGTATCCTGGAGCTGATCAAACGACTAACTGGGCGAGTTGTGCCAGACTGGGATATAGATCCCTGAAAAATGGGACAAAAATGACAAACACATGTATTAAAACCAAACAGAATAGGGATCTAGTTGGATATGTATTTTATGTAGCCAACCATAAACGTGGGGTATGCCCAAAGTTGCAACTTTAAGAGGGGAAAGGATGATAAACAGTCACTTGATCTTGTGATACCCTCTGGTAAACTAACATAGCTATTGAAAATGGCCATTTATAGTTGATTTACCCATTGAAAATGGTGATTTTCCATAGTTATAGTCTATAGTTAGTTTACCAAAGGGCAATCATTGGATTCAAAGAAACCACTGTTTTTGACCCAGTTAAACAGTCACTATCCACATAAATCAACCAAAACCCAGCCGACCACCAGAGATGTTCAGACCGTGGGAGTCGGAAATGAGGATTGAAACCACCAAACTCTTGAAAAATGATGGACTTCGTCAATGGGTTCTGGATGACAACCCATATATATCCATATATGAAATGGAAAATAATCCATGTTTGAAACCACCAACCAGAACTTGAAATGCAGATTGGAACCACCAAAATTCAGTTGTTCCGGGTCTCATTTCAGGTCAGATTGGTCAAATCTCGAACATTCCGGGCACTCGCAAAGGTGAGAACACAGCCAACACAAGCAATTCGGCAATTCGACCACTGCAAGAGTTACGCCCCGACTTTTGAATGATGCTTACAGTACTGTGTGTTGTTTACTGTTACCCTCCGGTAATTTAACATAGCTATGGAAAATGGTCCATTTATAGATGATTTACCCATTGAAAATGGTGATTTTCCACAGTTATGTTAGTTTACTGGAGGGTGGTATCCCTAGTCTAGTCATAATTCAGGCTACTCTGTTCCATCCGTGGCCGTTTCACACATGGGAAAATCACCAAGGTTTTGCCTGGTAAAAATGGGATTCCCATCATGGATGACAATCCCTAAGGGTTTTTGTTGAGGCTAGTAAGAATCCCATAGAACCAACCATCGTTGATCCACTAGATTTATTTGATGGTTAAAAGCCTGCAACCTACAAATGAATTAACATTAAGATACAAATAACATATAACATACAACCTACAACCTACATACAAATGATTGCTAATTCCCATTAAAATCAACCTACAAAATGGGTGTCGTGAATTTCTGCTAAACCATCTCCTCGCATCTTGCAAACCCAGCGTCGATGGGGATCTGATACTTTCGCGCAAAGTTCTGGGAGGCTCCAGTGGTAAAGGCTTGGGTAAAGTAGATGCCGCTGAACCAAAACATCACCGGGGCACCGTTGTCCACCCACTTCCTGAAATGTCGCAGCGGCTAGATAGACCACCCCTGCAAACAAAAAGTGTTGTAGATATTTGCAGATTATGTTTACATTATTTAATAAATGTATATATATATATATGTACATATATAAATAAAGAGAAAAAACAAAAATATTGTATGTATATATATATATACATCGATGTTTATCTATATATATATATCTATCTATCTATCTATATCGATCTATATCTATCTATATATATATATATTAACATATATCAATCAATATCTATATCTATCTTTATCTATCTATTTCTTTCTATATCAAGCAATATGAATATCTATATGTATTTTTATCTATCTATGTCTAGCTATATTTATCTAATCTACCTATATCTACCTATATTTATCTATAGTTATCTAAATCTACCTATATTTATCTATATTCATGTATACTTATCTATATTTATTGATATATATCATTATATATCTATATATATATATATATTTATCTATATTTATCTATATCTATATCTATGGTACTATATCTATCTGTAATTATCTCAAGATATATATATATATATAGCATATCTATCTATTCGATCCAATCTATCCAATCCATCCAATCTATCCAATCTATCCAATCTATCTAATCTATCTAATCTATCTAATCTATCTCATTTATCTAATCTATCTAATCTATTTAGTCTATCTAATCTATCTAGTCTATCTAATCTATCTAATCTATCTAATCTATCTAATCTATCTATATCTATCTATATCTATCTATATCTATCTATATCTATCTATCTATATCTATCTATATCTATCTATATCTATCTATATCTATCTATATCTATCTATATCTATCTATATCTATCTATATCTATCTATATCTATCTATATCTATCTATATCTATCTATATCTATATCTATCTATATCTATCTATATCTATCTATATCTATCTATCTATCCATCCATCCATCCATCCATCCATCCATCCATCCATCTATCTATCTATCTAATCTATCGATCCATCCATCCATCCATCTATCTATCTCCATCTGATGAGCCTACTGCGTATTCTATCTCTGTGTGCTATAGCTGCTATATCTATCATTCATCTATTTACATCCATCTGTATCGATCTACATCTATCTACATCTATAAATCTATAATTTATAAATGGAGGTTTATAGCTGGGAAAATCACCTACAACCTAGCCATTTTCCATTGCCACGATATTCATTTGTCGAACTATCCTTTGGAATCGGGTTTCGAAATTGGGCATCTCCACAGCGGCATGGCATCATGGCACTTGTTTATGCCAAGCATCTGGAAGAACTTCAGCCTTTCCACCAGGTCGTTGATATAGCCTCCCAAAGGCTTCCTCAAGGCACATGAGATGGTTGATGAAAAAAATCATTCGCAGAACTTAACGTATAACTCATTGGAGTGGTTTCAGAACTTTCAGGAACAACATCAAGGAAAAACCATATATATATAATTATATATATATAGGTTTGAGTGGTTTTCATTGTTTTTACGTGTTTTTTTTGCATATTTTGGTGGGTTCCTGAACATGTTCCCTTCAACCACTCCAATAAACATCCCATCCCTTGGGAGTCACATCATTCCACTGGGGCCCTCAGCACTGGAGAAAAAATATGACCCGAATGCACCCGAATGAACACCCCCAACATACACAGGATACACGACACTGTCACGTTCATCCCAATATCACTCCAGACTTTCTGTTTACGCCGAGTTTACGCCCTGTTTATGAACGGATGGGGTCCCACTTATGATTGGAACTGTCACTATTATGGCAGGCCTCTTTTCAACCGAGCATCAGAGATGGATAGGAATGCTTGAGCCACATAGCTGGAGTTTTTCCATCAAAAATCTCGAAGAAGGCGGTCTCCAGATTTGCACCTAAGGCGAGGGCGGTAGCAGTTGGAAATGGATCGTTTGAATCATTGGCAGTCATTGGCACCTGGAGCTATACCCTGAAAATCCCGGTAAACATCTTAAATGTTATGGAAAATGATTCAACATACAATCATGACTTAGCTCGCAAAACATAGGGGCAGTGTTTCAGAGAATTTGAGGATCAGGATCAAGTCAATGCCCAACTGGTTGGTGGAGCCCTACCCCTCTGAAAAATGATGGAGTTCGTCAGTTGGGATGATGAAATTCGCATATATTATGGAAAAACAATCCAGCCATGTTCCAAACCACCAAGTCAATGCCCAAGGCGCTCATCAGCAGCAAACCTTTCACGGCCTTCTGAATATCTTTCAAGGACTGTTGAATCGCCTGCCGATGGCAGGTCGATGGTCAGCATTGACATCTGTGGCAAATTAAGTTGCGTTGGTCATTTTGAATCCGTCATCACTAGTAATTTATCAATAATATTGGTTATTAATAATTTAATTGCAATAGTAGTTTGATAATTTAAGTTGTATCCTTCAATATTTATCAGATTGAATCACGATGTTGAATTAGAAGATAGAATCATCCTCGTCTGCATCATCATCAGCAACTGCAGCAAAGTCTATGAGGAAAGCTCTCCATCAACATGAGTATGCTTTGAAGATCTTTGAAGTATGTTTACAAACCATAATCAGTTCAATAGCAGTTCCATCTGCCATCTGTGGACATGTCATTATATGTCATTCATCATCATAGATCATCACCTTTTCGAAGCAATCCATCTTAAAAGGCGGAAAGCCACACAAACCTTTCTCCCATCTACCACTAAAATCCTCCCAGGCCCGTTGCCTTCAGGAGGCCGTTGAATCTCTTCAATTCTTGCGCCAAGACAGTGTTCATGCTCTCTTCATAGAGGGTGGGATACTTCTCCTGATGGCGGATCTCGAAATTATCGAATTTCCTACGAACTTTTTGCAATCATCAAATAGGCATTGTGACCGAAAAACATGCAAGGACCAGCCATGTTCAGCGCAAGAAACATTGGAACAACACTTGTAGATATGAGCGCTAGCTACATTAATTAAGTTTATTACTGGTTGGTGGTATACCTACCCCTCTGAAAATATAAAAGTCAGTTGGGATGATTATTCCCAATATATGGAAAAATAAAAGCCATGTTCCAAACCACCAATCAGATTATGTCTTTATTCCACTGCGATGCGAGGAAGCCCGCAAGGGTACCTCGAGTACCTCGCAAGCTCTCGATGTTTTGTGTTCTTAACAGCTGGTGATATCCCGACCATCCAACTTGAGGATAATGAAGAAACAAAGATAAGAATACAACAACATACTGTAATATATTTACTGGTTGGTGGTTTCAACCCCTCTGAAAAATATGAGTTCGTCAGTTGGGATGATTATCCCATATATTATGGAAACGTAAAAAATGTTCCAAACCACCAACCAGTTTAATATGCTGTACCTCTGTTCATTCATGTTGATTCTTTGTCGCGTAAACCATAACTGGTTGGTGGTTTCAACCCCTCTGAAAAATATTCGTCAGTTGGGGTGATTCTTCCCAAATATATGGAAAAACAAAAAATGTTTGAAACTTTGAAACCACAAATCAGATAAGAAATGTTGAGACAGCGAACCCAACCAAACTTTCCCGTGAAGGTCCTGCACCTTTGCCACGTCCCAGGGTTCAGGCAGTCGGCTCAGTACATCCTGGTAGGCACAGCTCGTTTTTACCGACCATTAAAATCACTGCAAAATCCCGTGGAATCCCATGAACATTCCACTAGCCATTTGCCATGAACATCACATTTAGAGTTGGAATCAACATTGAAAACCCTTCCCCCCTCACATGAACATCACATTTCAAAAGTGGGTTTTAAACCAAAACGGTGTTTAACCAGCAAACATTGAAATACTCACCATCAATCACAAGGATTGATTCAATCCAATCTTTTCCTAGACCCTCCAATTACCCCACAACAATGGTAAAAGTACTCAAGACATGGGGCAAAACACCGTTTTCAAGGCGACTTTGAGGGTGGGTTGATGGATAAACTATCAGCAGTTTCAGGATCCGATTGAATCGGAGCTACTGTATATGGCCATATTTTGCGGTGATATTCCCCAAAATTTAACCATTAAATAGGCCTTAAATAGGCCTATTTAATGCTTAGGTCGGTTAGGTACCTCCAATGTAGCCATAGAAAGCAGCCTTGACCTCGCTCGCAACAAACCCGGCACCGGCGCCTTGGCGATTTCGCCGACCACCACGTCGGGCGAGGAGCCGCCCGCCGAACTGCTGGAGCCCGCAGTGAGCAGGAGCTCAGTCATCATGTTGTATGTCTCGCCCATTTCCTGCCGGTGCCCAGTGGTAGTTTACAAAGGGCTGAATCCCGGCAACCGAAAAACCATTGAAAAACAACTCTAAGCCCGTTGTTGAAGCCCCCAAGTGGCAACCATAATTAGCCATAGACACCCAAGCGAAGCCATGGTGTCTCATGGTGTAGTAGGGAATTTCCACATCATGGGAACTATAGAATGGGATAAAATGGGTGTGTTTTATCTTAGGGGTGGACATGGACTTAGCTTAGGTTCCTCGAATATGAATGGGATAACTTACTTGGGCCGGACACACGAATCCCCCCATATTCTCCGATTTCCAGTGGTGAAATGTTGCTAAACTTCACCAACCCTTCACCAACGATTCACCAGTTCATCAGTGCCACCAGCATTTTCCGCCCTCTCCTTGGTAAGGTTGGCGTTTTCGTGAAAGCCAAAGACGCCAGGAGGCGTCACCAAGGGCAGGTTGCGGATGTGTTCCAGATGCTCCTGGCGGTGAAGGGTTGCCCCAAAATGACAGGCAGTGAATACACCAAAGACTTTTCTATAATTACCAGAATTACCACCAAAAAAATGCCGAAAAGTGTTTCCAGAACGTTAACTATAGGTGATGTTACCTTAATTTCCAGGCTTCAAAAAAAACAACAAGCTTGCTATGGAACCGATTAGACATGTCGCACACCTCCGCTTTCTCAAACTCTCGGTTTCCTCACCTCGTAGCCTCCCTTGGGCGGCGGCACATAGGTGGCGCCATTCTGCTCTTGGTACAGGATGAAGTCATCTGTCAAGGCTTCCTGTCGAGTGATTGCCCGCAGAAAACTGGACCTAGATTTCACAGAAACATGAATCATCATGAATCCATGATTTCGTGGAGAGACCAGGACGGTCCTTAGCTTTTTGAGATCTATGATCTATGTCAGAATCTATGTCAATTTTCTGGAGGCTAGGTCTTAGGTTGAGATGTTCTTGTCTACTCAATTGGTGCAATGGCAGTTGCTAGGTTTTAGAGAAACATATGGCCATGCAGCGATGACTGCACCTACTTTATAGATCTTTACAGCATTATGTCAACCTAAACAAAAAGACCGTTTCCAGCTGACTGTGTTCTGGGATACATGTGAAACAGCTGCAGGTCATGTTGCAGGTCATCCCGGCCATCCAAAGTTGCCATGTCGGTGTGCCTGAAATGGGATGCCGGGATGCCCCATTTCAGGTGTGTTATACATGGGACCATCGAAGCCAATCGAAACCACCGGAGTTGGAGTCCCAGCCTGGCAGTAGTAGCTCTTCAACAGAGTGGCCTGGGGAAGCTGCTGCTCTGTCAGCTGCTGAGCAAAGATGGCAGTCGTTTGTTTCCTTGTTCATGGTGGAAAATTCAGTTAAACAATGTTAAACATACAATGAATTCTTATGGCGCCCCTGTTTATTGATGATCTAAACCGCAAAACACACATGCAACAAAGGTTTGCATTAATCTTCTCAAATTGAAGTAGTGTGGGAACAGGTTGAAAGCTGAAACAATCGGCAAATCTTCCTCACCATGGCTTACATCACTAATTTTTGTTGACCATATGTGTTCCCACAAAAATCTGCAAGCACAGTTGCCACGCGTAATCCTCCAACCTCAAAAGAGGTCAATAATTTTGGTGACCCCAAAGATCACCGCCCAGAACCATACAAGGCGGCGACCCCAGTTGTAAGTTGGTTTACCGGTCAAGCTTCAGTCATGGTCACCACAGTAATGAACCTAATTAGGTGTAAAGCAACTTAGCTAACTACAGTATGAACTGATTGATGGTTTCATTGCCAACTCTGTAATCTGTAATCAAGGAGGGTCATCTCTCCAAAAAGGCTAGACAATAATTAAAACATCGTCCAAACCACCAACTACGATTCGTATTGCATTGATCATATCAATCATTGCTTTTTAATATTTCATCAGCAATATTCAAGTAATCATTATTCCTTGGCCTCATTCATAATCATCAATCATTATGAATTCCTCATTTATAGGTGTCCATGGGGCTACCCCAATAGCTGGATGGTTAGTGGAAAATGTCATGTAAATAAATGGGTGATATATTTTGGGGTACCCCCATTTTAGGAAACTTTCAAACGTACTTATAGATGCTATTTCATGGGAAATATATCTCGGGGTACCCCCATTTTAGGAAACTTTCAAACGTACCTATAGATGCTATTCATTTATAAACCATCTATACTGGTTGGTGGTTTAAACTCCTTCTGAAAAATGATGGAGTTCGTCAGTTGGGATGATTATTCCATTCCCGATATGATGGGAAAGTCATAATCCAGCCATGTTCCAGTCACCACCAACCAGATTTCAGTGACTTAGGAAACCTCCATAAAAATTCCACTTTTCGTCCCACCACCAACCCCGCCCTGGGTCCCAGGGGTCCTGGGTCCCCAGGATGTCCCAGGTACCAAGAGCCGTCGGTCCATGGCTTCTGTGACTCGGCCACCATAGTTGCACTCGCCCGTCAAATAGTTCAGTGCCTGTTTCACGACGTGATGGGACCGGGATGGGACGTACCCTATTGGGGGTGCTTGTAGCGCTCCACTTAGTCAGTTAACACTATTTTTTACATTCCCAACGTGAGCTGAAATGTAGGGATAACTTAGCTTTAAAAAAACTCAATATATAACTGTAGTTCTATATCCCCGGTAAAACATAGTTGGAATTTGCCTAGTTCAACTTGTGTAAACTTAGCGACGCAGGTCAAGACCCATGTGGGTAACCTTACAGGCGGAGCAGCGACTTCGAATGTTGCGCATGGAGAGCACATCGCTGAAGATCGACTTCTGGTTCAACATGGGATATCCAAAAAATGGGATAATCTACCACTCAAGTAGCCATATGGTGAGAAAATGATGATGAATCATGAAATTTTGGTATGCCCAGATAGTTCATGTCAAATATATTGTAAGATTTGCCCCAGCCCGCTCTAATGCCTTTGCAACCATTTCCAACCATCACTTCTATAGGTACTTATGTACTATCACCCCGTTCCAGATGGCTAACTTAATCCAGAAACTTCATCGGTGCATCTTGTTGATTGATATATCATAGATCCATCAAATATTAAAGAAACATTTACATTTTTTTTCGCACTGGTAGATAGATCAAGCCCAGACATATATGTTCCTTAAATAAACATCATCTGCCAAAAATGTTCTCTGTTCTACAGTCAGACTACCCAATCTGCCACATATCTCCCAGATTTTCTCAACCCTAGGTTAATGCACTGCTAAGCTGTTTAATTGGAGAACCGTGCAAGATCACTACTTGGTGGGTACAGTCCGCGATCGACATTGTGCCGCATGTAACTTTAGTGATGCCCTCCAGTAGTCAAACATAGCGATGGAAAATCAACCATTTATGTGTATATTATCACTATATTATATATATATATATTTGCATATATATTATATATACACACATATTAGATATATATATATATATAGAACATATATAAAGATAATGATTTTGCCATTGGTCTCCAGCTGTGGCCAGCTGTCACCGGCGCCTTGATGGGCGCCTCATTGGGATATTCGTCCAGGAACATCTGCAGCTGCCGCACCGAGATGCGAAGGTCGTTCTCGGTGAACCTTGCGAAGGTCGTTCCCGTGGATTGGGAGACAGGCCATGGTGATGTTTATGGCTGATTTAGTAGGATCTAATTATCCATCTATCAATGTATCTATGCATCAAAGAATCTATCAATCTATCTATGTATCTATGTATCGATCTATCTATCTATCTATCTATCAAACAATCTATCTATCCAACAAACCATCTATCAATCTATCAATCTATGTATCTATGTATCTATGTATCTATCTATCTATTTATATCTATCTATCTATCGATCGATCGATCTATCTAGACACATGATTGTAATGGTGGTTTAATGGGATTGACTGGTGATCGTTCATGGCGGTTGTTCATAGGGTTCATGGTGATTTAATGTTGGTTTTTACAGGATCTAATGGAATGGTAATCTAATGGTGATTTAATGGGATTGAACGGGGATATCATAGAGATACAATGGGGAAATAAACAATAGGGCTGATCCTGCACCCTCCAATATGGAAGAACTGGGTGAATAAGTATAGCGGTAAAAAAAATACAATGTGTCCCCCTTGCAGCATGGATTTACCTGTTTGGCCGACAATGGGTTGGAGCAAACCTAATAACTTGGGGTGATTTATATGTGGTACAACCATTTGAGCAGTGTCAAAAACGAGTGGACAGGCCATTTCACCAGCTCTCTCTCGGTGATTTCCCCATCAAAAGAGGGGACCAATCGCCCGTGTGGTATACCGATCCAATACCCAGTGACCAACAAACATGGGGATGTAAAAAATAAAAAAAAATAACACCATACAAGGTGGTGCCCCATAGTTAGCTAAGTTGGTTTATAACTCCAATAACTATGATTTATGGCACTTAATTGGTACTTATAACTATAGTTACTGGGGTTTATAAACCAACTTATAACTGGGGGGCCTCACATTGTATAGAGTTAGGATATCAGCACCTCAATGCATCAGTTGGTATTGCTAAGCTGGTGGAAATACTGTATCTTGACTGGCATAAAAATGGCCAATTGATGTAAATTCTGGCTACCCTTCAGCTGACTATACATACTAAGTAACTGCAACACGTTAACACCCAGGCTTAGGTGGATATATTTTTCTTTAAATGTATACACACACACATATATATATATACATATATATATACATATACATACATATATATATATACATATACATATATATAAATATATATATATTAATACAAATAAACAAAAATATACATACGTAAAATTACAATAAATTACATATCTTCTCTGTTAGGGTAAGATAGCTATTACGCTAGCCGCTAGCTGGAAAACTACCCATACCATACAACTTGGACATGTAATCCCTGAGACTGGAAGAGCGGAGGTCGAAAGACATCCAAGCCATAGGAACTTCTCCAAATTCATCTTCGAGACATCCAAAAACATCAAAATCTGCAGTTCAATCTCCAAAAAACTACATCAAAAAAAAGATCTTGAAAAGTCATGGCCAGCCCTTCACCACCAACTATTCTCCCATCTCCCATCTCCAAGCGACTCATAGGCGATGTTCCATCCCAACGGGCCAAAGAGGCGTCGTTCTTGGATCACCGCATGGAAGAAGCACAGGTTGAAGCACAGGCCTTAGGCGCTGCCATGAGAGGCAGACCCAGCCAGTTTTTTCGTTAAAAAAACGACGATGGAAAAGGGATGAAGTGATGAGATTAAGAAAAGGCTAATATCGTGTCACTAGATACTGGGACATATTCAATATGATTCCATCCAAGTATGGTAAACTTATATGTCCTAAATATCCTAATACATATTGATGTATTATGATATATTGATTCTTGGTTTCGGGTATTCTACCCATGTCCTCAGCAAAGCAATGGTAGCAATCTATCCATGCTGCTCCCTTCCGAGGGGCGTTTGAAAGCAGCGTCGCAAGTGCAGGCGTTGAAGAACTCCTTATGGGTCAAAACCGTGGTACCCAAATGGTTCCTTAGGTTATAGCTGGTGAATGGATGGTTATTCGTCGTTATTATTCCCAAATGTGGTGATAATAGGCTTCGACTCATCCCCACATAAAGAAATCCATCACATCCACATAATGATAATCCTACCACGGAACAAACAAATCCTCTAAAGTCTAAAGTTTAGAGGACTTGACTCGACCCATCTTGACCGTGCAAGTTTAGATGTTGAAACTTTGAGTTGCTTTTCCAAGCCCACCATTCATTTATTGTAGTTGTACTTACCTAAATGATCATCCACTTAATGCTGATGGTTGGTATAGCATATGTTGAACCACATTTACCCGAACAATCACCTAAATGCATGAAAATCGATGGGGCATGGGAAGCTTCCGGCGTGCACGGCATGCTGAAATGAACCTGGGGCTGTCTGCGCCTTTTCGGGTGATTCCTACAGACGACTTTGAATACAAATACATGATTACACAGTGAAGGACCGAACCGGCAATATCCAATATACCAAAAAAAAACATTTCGAGGATCCGTTTGCGAATGTTTTGCACTCTACTTTTCACTCATTCATTCCCGCTTTGGCCCAACTTCAATATATCCCCATATTTCCAGCGGCACTCCTCGTTGCTGATGGGGTCCATGTTGTAGGACCCTGTCATGTTGGCCCTCAAGCCCTTGGGTGCTTCATTGGTCATCTTGACCCCATTTTGCAGGATCGCCACGGGAAACCTGCCGAAAATTCTGGAGCGAGCCACGGGAATGTTTAAGGATGATTTTGGGATCGAATAGTAATATCAAACTAGTTTTTGTGTTGTGATTGAAAAGCAACTATACACACACATATATATATATGTGCGTATAGATAAATATATATATATACATATGTATGTATAGGTATGTATACCGAGACCCTGCAAGTACCTATAAAAAATAGGTAAACATACTAACCTTCAGGGGTCAGACACCGATTGGTACATATATGTATATATCACATAGAAATATACAGTTTTCCTACAGGAAAACACAAACATTTTGTTGCGGTATATTAATGCACATTGCTTATGAGAGTCAAATATGTGGCTACAATCAATCAATCAATCAATCAATCAATCAATCAATCCAGGGATGCGTCACACTTCAAGAAGCTGAAGAGAAAGACCTTCAACCCTTGGTACTGGCGTGGCCGCATGGCCCCTTGCTACATCCCCTGGATTTGACTTTGCCAGGTCATATTCATTTATGCTTCATAGGTCCAAAACTGATGAGTGAGGCCGGCTACCTCATTCTGCCACATCTGGAGCCGTATTTTGTAGCGAATTCAATCCGTTCAGAAGGCGCCCACATTTTCTGAGATGCTACTTTGTATATAGAAACCCCAATTTGTCGGACTCATATCAACACTTTAGCTAGGCTCCACCTCGAAACCAGCTGACTTCCAATTTGGTCTTACACTATGCAACCTATGTCACCACACCAAAAACACGGCTTCGTCTTAATTACACCATAATTTCCAAGGATTTCTTGGGTTTGCTTGAGGGCCCAAACAACATCACACAAAACAAATATAGTTTCCCGAATCATGGTGACATGGTGGCTTTCCCCTTCGGAACATGACCTTTTACATCCTTTTACCGCCGACTCAGCCGATCCATCGACCCATCGATCCATGAAACTTGTTGGAAGGATAAGAAGTGAGCCACAAGCGGAAGTCCTTGTGAACCTTCTTGGGGTCTTTCCTTACGAGGCGATTGGCACAAGATGGCACAACGTGGTAAACCGCCATAATAGCCACTGTTGGGGGACTGTTAAAACAAAAAAACGACCTTTTTCTGGTAAGCATCTGGAAAAATGAGGATGCCATATTCTTGGGTTTACTACATGAGTTCGAAAAATACATCGAATCAAGACATGTTCAAGTAGGTTTCAACAAACCCCATGAATTAATACATGTAGTGTTTAGGCTTAATTAAATCTATCCATGTCGCTGCACCAACGTACATATAATTTAGCAGCTGCAACCGTTACCAAGTTCCACCTGACTTCCCAACAGCCCCCCCCCGGTGGCTACTTGGATAGCCGAACTTGAATACCCGAAATCAACGACCCAAAATGGAGAATCATGCTAAATCATCTGCAAATGGGGATAGAATGCGTATAGTATAATGGGATAGATCATCAACAATACCATATATATCCATATATGGCTTTGTTTGAAAAAATGCCGCACCTAAATCTACTGGTTCATCATCATGTCTATCAACATGGCCATTTCAGGTGTTTATCCCATTTTCAGACACGTCCATATGCAATACTGAACCAGTTCAAAATCAAGAAGAAAAAACTAGTCATCCACAAATTCCCAAAAAATAACACGGCTTCATCAGCAACTTCGTGCTAGAAAAAATGGAAGACTCCGGCAACACTAACAGGTTCAATTTACTCAGTGGGGAGGTTCAACGATTTCATAATTGGTGTGACCAACAGAGCTTGTTTTTTCTTTCGATCAACCAAGAAAATCCAAGAGTTACATAGGGGAACAGTACCAGTTAACTTGTCAAAGTACAAGAACTTCAAAATGTGATTCCAAGGTTTTAGATGGTTTTGGGGTATCCGATGGTATCCTAATCCATCCAACCATTTATCCATCTAAGCCACTAAGCCCATGTTTTTTTAAGTCAACCCGAAAGCTCCATATTTATCCTCTGGTAACATAGCTATGGAGAACCATCATTATGAATAGGTATATAAATCACCATTCTTAATAGGTAAATCATCTTGAATCATCTATACATGGGCCATTGTCCGTAGCTATGTTAAATAGGCCGATGCCCAAATGTGGCTAATTTCACCAGCACCAGCATATGGCTATCAAGGATTCCCATTCAACATCACTAACCTCCGCATGAAGTCCAAGATGATTTATCAGCATCTTTTCTCATTCGATCCTATAAAAACATTAATTAATCACCATGAAATCCCACTAAATCATCAACCCCATTTTTTTCAGTAATTCAATCCCACTAAATCATCAACCCTCCAACTAATCATTAGATCATCCGGAAAAATCCAGAAATCATCCACCGTTCCACATTGTTCCACGCACAGCCAAGCGTCTCATCCAGCAGGCGTTCCAAGCGCGGCATCCAGCTCGTGGCCAAGTGGCAGTTCTGAAGCAGGACCCAGCCTCCGTCCTGGTTCCAGAGTTCCAGACCCAAAAAATGCTTAAGAACCAAGGTCTGACATCATGATTTATCACAAAATATCACTATTTTTTATCATGGTTAGTAATTACATGTTTTTTGTGATGTTTTCGGTATGTTCGGGGGTTGCCAGATGTTGTAATATATGTTCTAAGTTGTTTTAATGTGTTATATAAAGCGATATATTGGAGACTTGGTGTTTCATCATGTCTTTTGTTCCCATGAGCCTCCAGGTATGCCCCTCCACCTGTCAACCCCCGAAGTGTTCATATCATATTTGGAGGGGATGAGCATCCATAAATTCATAGAAATTCCGGCTAGTTTGCTGTGAACAGAAGGGAGTCCCATGGGTTTGGGATGGTTTTCTCCGATGCCCATACTACCTAGACCTTGAAAGTACTCCCAAAAAATGTGTTTTTACCCTAAATTTCTAAAAAAAATGCCATACTTTGGGATCTTTGGCCCTTTTTTTTGGGTATATTAACGGTAAATATCATGGCACCCATCAGATATCATCAGCCCCCAGCCTTGGTGGCAATGTCCATGAGCCTTTCAGCCTTGGGACCTTGACCTTGTCCCAAAGAAATGCTGGCGACTTCACGGTGTTTCCTCGAACGAATTTTGCGAGAGGAATCTTGAGGTCTAATTCTAGCTTCACATGTTTTCATGTTCTTGATATATAGATATATATATATTTATTCATTTATTTATTTAAATATATATATATATGTAGAAATAAACATACATAATGATAAGTATATATATATATTGTATATATAATATATATAATATATTATATATATAATTTATAATGATAAATATATATAATGAATAATATATATATATAGATAATGAATGATATATATGTATATATATAATATACAATTAATGTATCCTTAGTTTCCGTGCCACTGGTTTGCAAAAGATATAGTCCACTTCCATCAATCCCAACGCCTCAAAAGGCTGACCTGGTAATGTCTCTACGGTCATCTTGGCCGGGCTTCAATCATCCACACATGAACAAACACATCAAACATATACAAATGTTAAAATCTAAATATATATCACTATCCAAAAGTTTACGTAAAGCAGCTATATATCATTATATATCATTATCCTATTGTATATATATATAATGATATATATATATACAGATATCCATAGGCATGTATATAAATATAAGTATATACATGCACTATCTATCCATATCAAACAGCCTTTCAAACAGCGATCTCCCCGCGTTCGAATGCTCAGCTTCTCTGCAGCAAAGCGGTAGAGGTTGCTCCCGGGATCTGCGCCAGGCGAGAGGATGAAGATCAACGGTGACATGGCCTCGGGAAAACCCAGGCCATGGGTATCATCGGGGCCAACATATGGCAATTTTCATGGGAGTTGAACTATGATTAACTATAAAACATTAGGAACATATGGGAATTGTCATATGATTTTAACTATGATTAACCAAACATTATTAGGAATATACGGGAATTTTCATGGGAGTTTAACTATGACTAACTATGACTTATTAGGAAAATACATATTTTTCACTATGAATAACTAAAACTATAACTATATAGATATAACTATAGGCATCAACTATAGATAACGATAGCAGCCGTGTCCTACAAAAAAGTGCCGAAATGAAAAAAAACTGGAACATAGAGAGGAAACATCATCTAGTTCACATCCTGGAAACAGCGGTCACAGGTCTTTTGGGGGGTTGTTATAGAAAAATACCAGGAACATTATGGGATTTTTAATGGTTTTAAAGATCAGATATCAGAACAAGCAAATGAACTTCACAGCTGCTTGGAATGGTGAATTGTTAAAGATAGCTATGGAAGGCATTTCCCATTTAGTTCGATGATAAATTATCTCAAAACATTGTGATTTTAAGTGATGTTTCATTCGCCAACTGTGGATTTACCAGAGCGTAATCAGCAAAATAAAGAACATCAAATGAATTTACCATCTGGTTATGACTAACATAGCCATGGTATAGATGGCCCATTTATAGATGGTTTACCTATTAATAGCATGGTGATTTTCCATGGCAAACTGTTAGTCATAACCAGAGGGTAAGATGTCATATACCCTCCGGCAATTAGCCACACGGCAAGCTTGGAAATCCCCGAACGAGCCATGGAGGTTTTTTTGGCTGCCAAAATCACCGAACTAAATGCTGGATCTTCTAACCGGGTTAGCCTGGGATCCCAAGATCTCTAACCGGGTGATACGACATGAGTATTAACTAATTAAAAACCGGATACACTCACAAGTAGCATGTGTAATGTCACGTAATGTCTATGTAAGGTAAGATCATGTAATATCATAATGACCACACATAACAATGGCGTCAAAAAGGGCACAGTATCTCCATATATCTCCAGCATGTTTCGTGGAGTTGATGGCTAGTCCTGTGCTAATTTGGTGCCTGAGAGGTCTTGAACACTGAACAAGCAGCATCAAGCAACCAAGTGTCATGGCCCCCCGGAAAGTTACGCATTATTCACCACAAAAACAAAGCACATCAAAGCACCAACACTGTGAAAATCGGCACCACATATTTACACTACTCAACTACTCCTAAATTTACAATTTGTACAACAACAGATTCAACTAGCAGTAACTGTTGCACAACATCACCCCAAGGCCGCCACAACCGTCGCCAGGAGGCGTTGGAATCCGAATAGGATCCGGCCAAGTCGAAGGGTGGCGGATTCACAAACTTCTCCCCCAGCTTTCCGGCCACGAACTCCAACACCGCCGGGACCACACGATCCGGGCGGATGCAACGCAAAATCATCAGGTCCTGGTGGTTTTTTTCGTTGTTTCATTGGGTTACCCGGCCTGGTAAACATAGAAAAAGTTATTGAAAATGACCATAGAAATAGTGGATTTACCCATTAAAGATTGTGATTTTCCATAGTTATGTGACAGTTTACCAGAGGGTAAACTGTCAGTGAATCTGAGTGATCTGAAAAAGGACCCCAATCACTTTTATAAATCCGCTTCAATAGGTGCAAAAAAAAACATTCGTAAAGGAATCATATGTAGCCATATTTCATACGGGAAAAACCATGGTTTCCGGTGGGTTTTCCAACCAATCCAGTGATTCATCAGGTCAGCTTTTTGAAATATGGAGCATCACCTTCTTAGGGCCTAGGGAATATATAGGATCCCTCTATATCCCTCTGGTGATTTACCAGTTCGCTTTGGAAAATAATGGTCCAAAATCATGGCTGATCAGTTTTATGATGATTTACCGAACTTGGGAATGGGGATTTTCCATATGATGTGTGTATATATATACAGTATGTACACAGATTAGGCGCACGCCTCTTGGGATTCCTTATGGTTGTTGTCACTGACGAAAATGGCGAGTTGTTTCCCGGAAATGACGTTGGTACTACCATCTATGACTAACAGTTTGCCATGGAATATCACCATGCTATTAATAATATTAATGGGAAAACCATCTATAAATGGGCCATTTCCCATAGCTATGTTAGTCATAACCAGAGGGTAAGTTGATACCCTTGATGTCATAGTCATAATTATCCATTTATTAATCAGTGTCCGCTTTTCAGAAGGCTAACACGGGGAATGATGCTCAACCTTAGATATCTTAGATACCCTCACAGAGGTTTATCTTTGAGGGCTGTGATTCATGATGTTCTGTTCATTTCTATTCCATGATATTCCTAAAAATGCACGTGGCCAAAACAATCAAAAACATCGCCATGTACGATCCATTCACCAGTCACTTTATCCAGAAATTGCACCTTTCAGAAGCGGATTTTTGCTGGTGAAACCGCCGCTTCAACCGCCGCAGTGCAGCGATTCGTCGGCCCATCCGGATGCGCCCGGTATGATTCGGTACCTTGAAGAATCTTGGGCCGCAGATCATGCCCCACTAGTAAGGGGTGCTGCACGTGCTCCCACTCCGGAATGCTATATTACCGTACTATATATATATTATTATATCGCTCTTGTCAATAAAGTGACATCATGTCCAATTGCCCCTCCTTGGAGCCAACATCTACCTGTGAGAGTGTGCTGCACCTCTGTTAAACATATTCATTGTCAACCTTAGATGCCCTTCCAGACCAAACAAAACGGTTTTAGCTGGTTAGTATGATCATTTATAGCAAAATACCAAGCACTACCCTCTGGTAAACAAACATCGCTATTGAAAATTGCCATTTATAGTTGATTTACCCAGTAAACATGGTGATTTTCCATAGTTTTTTGTATGTTTAGCAGAGGGTACCCACTCACTACCAAGCAAAACCTTCCATCCGCACCCAGGAGTTTGAAAAAGTCCTGGAAGTCGTTGAAGCCCTCCATGGACTTGGGACGTGTGCCTTCTTCTTTCAGCAATTTCCTGGTCTTTAGGGCCACAAAAAGTACAGATCTGATCTGGGTAGCCGGTAAACTAACAGTTTGCGAACTTGAAAATCCCCATAGAAAGGGATGATTTGCCTATGAACAATGGTGATTTCCCATAGTTGCGTTAGTTTACCACAGGGTAAATTGTGATAGTTCACTAGTCTGAAATGCTGGGCCATTTGGGGGTAGTTACTTCTTACTCACCTTCATTCCAGTGAGGTCACACTGAGGTCACTATAATTTACCCAGATCTGCTAAACCCAATACCATAAACTATCCCAAATAGAGGGCTATAGCAGGATATTAGTAGGAGAACGTGGATTAAGCTAGGATAATAGAGAGATATTGATGCACAACTAGGATAACTATAAAATAAACCATCCCCAATAGCGGTTGATTCTTGGGTATACCGGTACACCCCAGTGGGATGATGTTAATCATGACCCCCAGTCATTGATGGGATGGTTCTGGAGATGTTCCCCATATTCAAAGCATGGTGACGTCGACATAAGCAGATATGCTAGAGGATCATCCCAGGAATTTCTGGTAAACTAAGGTAAACTAAGGTAACTATGGTGGAAAATCACCATTTTATAGCTGGGTAAATCCACGATTTCGACTGGGCCATGGCTTCCAGTTTTGCTACTTGGAAGATCATCCCAGTGCTAACCGTCTAACCCTGGCGATCGGATGCACCATCCCCATTCGTCATGACCTTTTTTTTTAATAGGTGGCATGGTTACCATTCCCAGGAACATGGGTGGTGTATGACATTGGTTTACCCACATTATTCATTAAATGCCATGACTATACTAATACTATGATTAGTCGTTAACTATATCATATCCCACTAATATCCCATTCAAAAAAATATTAATATTCGTTAACCATTGGTATACCACTTGTAAATGGTGATTAAACCACTATTAACATCTATTATATAACCACTATTGGCCATTATTAATAATATCTATTAACAACTATTAATTAACCACTACTAACCAACATTAACCAACATGGTGCTTCACTAAGCCCACTAACCACTCACCACTAACCCCAGGACCGTAGAAGATTGGAATCCTACCAGTAGATCAGCAACAATTTTCCAGCCAAGTGTCATTGGGTTCACATCGTCGTAAACCTTGGATTTGGCACCTTGTGAAAACATGTTGTTATTAGTACAGGATTGGGCCCCCAAGATAGCTAAGTTGGTTTATAAGTGGCTTAACAATAGTTTATGTTAGATATAACTATAGTTAATCGGGATTATACTGGTTTATAAACCAACTTATAACTGGAGGGCCCCATCCTGTAGTGAAAATAGTGGTTAACCACTAGGATATGTTGAGTTCGGATCAACATATTATTGTTCATAAATGATGTGAAACATGCTCAAACATATGTGGTTGTTTAAGATCTCAACGCCACCAAGATCCACAAGGCTCAAAAATATGTTCTTCTTCTTGCCTTTAGATGGTCCACCTAGATTTTGAGCAAGTTGCATGCTATGTTTGACATAATGTTCCAGTAATTTTGTATATATATATATATATTCATGTCAAATTTGCAAAATCAGATGAACAAACACAGTTGTGGATGTTGTTCCGTATGTGCAACGTATATATGTTTGTAATAAATAATGTAATATACTGTATGTAATATATTTGTATAGATAGACAGATAGATAAGATAGATAGATGGATGGATGGATAGATAGATAGATAGATCGATAGATCGATAGATCGATAGATCGACCGATAGATAGATCGATAGATTAGGTATATCGAACCGAGCCCACCGAGCTATGAATTTAGAATAGTTTATACAATATTATGATGTCTTACTATGATTCATTCTGCGGTTTCTACCACACATGATGAGCACTTCCTTTCGATTTCCCCGGGGACAACACCTTAGCCTGTCCAAACTCGATATTTCAGCATTGAAACAGAACCACAGAACCCGACTTTCGCAGTTTCGCCCAAACTATGAAGACCGCTGCTGCAGGGACACCATCTTCCATGCAGGCAATTCGGTCCCGAATTTTTCATGGAACCCTTGGTAGAACTCCTTGAGACCAGGGGAAGTGGCTGGAAAGGCTGGAAGATGTGCAACTGAAGCAACCACCACAGGGATACGGGATATCTACGGATACCTTTGACAGGTAATTTTTGGTTTAAACGTGGCGATGACAAAATGGTGTCATGGTGTCATGGTGCCACACATTTCAGGCGAATCTGACCAACCAAACTGCAGAACCGCCGTTAAGCAGTTCAGTTAGTTCATTGCTGACAATATTATCCTCTGGTTATTTAACATAGCCATGGAAAATCGCCATTTTTGATAGGTAAACCCAGGTAAACCATCTATAAATGGGCCATTTCCCATGGCTATGTTAAATAACCAGAGGGTACTTGTTGAGAACAATTTCATGATAAATGTTGGATGACTACATCAAATCTCCGTGCTTCACATGATGCCCAGTGCACCCCTCTAGTTCCAATAATATGTTCTAATTGCAGGTTGGTAATCCAATTAATCTACATATGGGTTAGCAATATGCATATACATGTATGTAGAGACACATTTATTTTCAAAAACAAAACATGTGCTCGCACATGTACTGATGTTGGCCAAATTCCGAGTCGTCCGGCTTGGCCTCAATATTATCCCATAGAGCGCCCAATAAATAATACGTACACATAACACATATGATCAGATTTTTGAGTATCATAGACTGTCATAAACCCATCAGAAAGCCTACTTCCCGCCCAACTTCCCAATCTGGTTGGTGGTTTCAACCCCTCTGAAAAATATTAATGGTAAGGATGACATCCCAATATATGGAAAAATAATCCAGCCATGTTTGAAACCACCAACTTCCCAATAATACGGAAAAAAAAACGGAAAAAAACACGGATTCCGACCCAAATGAAACGCCCCCCCAACAAAAAACGACCCAAATGAAACGCCCCCCCAAAAAAACAACGAAAAAAAAACGGATTCCGACCCAACTTCGCCCCCAAAAAATTCCTGGGTCACCCAAAAAGTCTCCTTGGACTTGGCCAATCGAAAGAGTTCTCCCCAACAGCGGTCCGGCACCCACTCCGCCGGCCGCGCAGGGGGATCTTCCAGGGAGACGCCGCCCGTCAGTAGGAAACCTCGGGAGTTTCAGGGTGAATTTCAGGGTGATTTGATGAACCAAAAAGAACCTTCCGGTTAACACCAAGAGAAAGAACTTAAGAGCGGAAATTCCATGAACATCCCGGTTTTACCATTTGAGATATGGGATATTTATTAAAGGATATTTTCATATGTCATGGGATATATGTGGCTGGATCAATTTCTGGGTGAAGGCCCAGGGCCCAACGGCCCAACAGTGCAGTTTTTTGGTTGTTCTTCGGTATGTCATAACCTCCGGATGGGATATAACATGATATAACCCCTACCAGTACTATGGTGATATAACCAAGATAAAACCCATGTATTAGTGGGACTGCAACCTCAAGTATTGTAATATATATATATATGTGTGTAACACAAACAAACGCTTGTAACAATTTTGTCTGGGTGCATCCGTTCAAATGGGAATACTAGCAGTAGTGGCGACTTTGACAAAGAATGATTCGGGACATACAACACAAAAACTGGAGAATTTTTGGCTCAAATACCTGGTTTGGTGGTTGATTGGTTTTCTCCAAGTAGATAACTTGGAGTGTGAGAGATGTGGTGTTTACCCATCTGTTTTTGTCCAAGAAGTTCTTAAGATATCTCAAGATATCTCAAGATCAAAGCGCGTGGCTGCCCAAGCCATACCGAAAGGAGAAAAGAACCGGCTGGGTAATGCTTGATTTATATCACATGCTCGCAACATAAAGGTTGCATTTCCCTCTTGGCGGCTTATTAAGTCAGAAGCCAAGGAAACGGCTTAACATTACTTAGGCCGGTGGAATTCCGTTTCAACGCCATCTTAAAAACCCCAATCTGGCAATTGATCTCAAGGGCCCAAGGCACTCAAGAGACCTAAAGAATATAGCCAGCCATAGCCATGACTTATCACGGCTTAAACTGCACTTACCTTACTTCGAGTGATCCCCACTCCGACACACTATTCTGACATAGTTTCTGACACATCATCTGGAAGTATACATGGCATAAAACATTCTGACGTTCTATCTGATATTCTTTCTGGCATCTATTTTGACATTCTTTCCGGCATTCTAGTTGACATCTGCCCTGACATTCTATCTGGCAGTCTCTCTGGCAGATGGACTCTCTGGATTGACCGATTGATACGTGGCCATTCATGGCCAAAAGATCAACAACGCATTTGACATAGTCTCTATACTACTTGATATCCCATGTTTAGTTAAAGTTCAATATTGCTTGCCTGCTCCATCAATGGCCTAAGCATTAAACAACACATGTTTTACTAATCACCCTACAGATCGTGAGTGTTCTTGCATCGACCCAGGTATCTGGAAAGATCCTCCTGCAGTTTCCAAATTTCTTGGGATCGGTCGTAAGGCATGTCAAGCCTACAGCAATCCTGAGGCCAAAAGCTAAGTGAGCAAAGACACGATAGTCGTCATAATCCGCTTCATCTGTGGACAACAAGAGACGCATACCTCGGCTACTGACTTTGAATAATCTTTGAAATGGCTTGTCTACTCACCACAGCTTGCAAGATAATGACCTCTGATATGTCACCCCATTTAACGATGATATCAATAACTGACACTTAGCGTGTCAAGTTGTCATTTGGATCACTTTCCATTTTTTCCTCACAACAACCACCAACACCTAGAAATCATAAGACTGACATCTCAAGGCTATTCGACTCTTGGATTGTCCATCACACAGTAGGTGCTTGTACATACTATATTGAGATGTCGTTTGCAAACTATGTGTCCTCTCTGCTAATGATAATGATGAACCTTGCTACATAAATTAATCATAAGTAATCAAACCTTCAAAATAATGGGATAAAGCATCTATCAACTGGTGCTTCGGATTTCGCTGGCCCATCCACAGTATCTTACATACCCTCTGGTAAACGTTTGCGTAACTATGGAAGATCACCATTTTATAGCTGGGTAAATCCACTATTTCAATGGGCCATTTTCAATAGCTTTTTTGACATAACCAGAGGGTAACCAGCTTGGGTAACATGTCCATCCACCATCAGGATTCAGACCCACAAGGCGCTGCTAGGATCCACGGTGCAAAGGAGGAAGGAGAAGAGCGTCTTGTGCTTTTCAAAGAGACTTCGGCAAATATTACCTAAGACTTACTGGTGCGTTTTACGTAGGGAATGGATGGGTTGCTGGGGGTTGCTGGGATGATTATTACTAGTGACTATGGATCATTCCCGAAAATTCCCTGCTAAGCACCAGTAAGAAGATTGGCCATGAAAATTGGAAACTATGTGGGCTATCTATAGATAGCTAAGTTGGTTAACTCCAATAACATCCAATAACTATAGTTTATGATACGCAAATAACTATATATAGTTAATGAGGTTTATAAACCATCTTATAACTGGGGGGGCCACATTGTATATATATATAATGGAGTATGAAGGGATCTTAATATGTGTGCAGTATATTGGTGGGATATTGGGATCTAAATCTATTGGGACTTTTCATGGGATTTAATGGGATCTTCGCCTCTATATACCTGGGTATTTTTTTTTTCACTACCCTGAATGCTTCGGCCATTTTGGGATGCCCCTTACTAAATATGATTATAGTGAGGTCGCAGTGAAGTCGTGATGAAATTTACCCAAATATATATATATATATACATATATATTTAAAAATGTGACTGAATATGATTTAATGGGGTATTAGTGGAATGTAATGGCGCATCTGGGTCAAATGCGCCATGAGAACCTTCCGTAGCGGGTGGATTCTCAGAACTTTGTGAACTTTCTGAGGACCGAAGGCCAATTTGGGAAATAAATGGACGAGATTGGCCAAATGGCCATTGAAAAATAGGAAAATAAGATTATACCCTCTGGTTATTTAACATAGCCATGGAAAATGGCCCATAGAAATAGATGGTTTATCTGGGTTTACCTATTAAAAGTGGGTGGATCTTTCCATGGCAAACTGTTGGTCATAACCAGATGGTATATGATTAGATGGTCATTCACCAGTGGATTTGGGGGTAGTCTATTCTCAGACTGAGCCATATGAATCTTATAGCGGCATAGCATCTGGTTATGACTCACATAGCCATGGAAAATCCCCAAAATAAATGGAGGTTTATAGCTGGGAAAATCATCTATGTCTATATATAAATCGGCCATTTTCCATGGCTATGTTCAATAACCAGAGTGTAACTATAAAACAAAACAAGCACTGCTCTGTCCATATTGTTCGCTGGGGGATCAAACCGCAAGAGAAGGAAAGTACAACAGCCATCAGTGTATAATGCAGCAATCCTAAATGCGAATATACAACAACACGACACACTGCAGTTGAGTTGCCAACAGCATCGGCAGTCTTCAGTTCTGAAGAGATAACACCAAAGTGCGAATATTCGCAAGGTAGCCAGGATTGTAACAAAGATCGAAGCGACAGTAGAGGGTAATCGTCTTGTATATCAAATTCATTGAACGTATTTAAATAAGATAATTAGTCACTAGTCATTGTTCTTATGAATTATGTCCAAAACTCATTAAATGTAAGTTTAAGTCATTCACAGTCATTCAACCAAAATTAATACACCATAATACAGTTTAATACAGCCTATACCGTACCTTTCTTTGCCCTCCTCCATGGTGTTTTTGTTGGGCCATCTTTCATGTTAAAGCAACTTTCCGACTCCCAATCCAAGCCGCAGTAGAGGGTGTACCTGAAGGTGTCGTTCAAATGTTCGATGCGCGTCTCCAAGACATCGCTCTTTTCGGCCTTTTCGATGGACGACCTGAAAACAGCTCCGCTATGCTCCGCTGGGAGCAGACCCTGTGAGGTGACGTCGTCGTGAGGTGATGTCTAAACAAGCTGATGAGGTATCATGGTATGACTCCCCCCGAAACGTAAGGGGATGATGTGTGGAAATTGTTTTAGGATGTTTTAGGTATTTTTAGGTACTCAGAGTTACTCAGAGTATGATTTAAAATTTAAATCAACAAGGGGAAAAATGGCTTCCCTTTGTCACCAGTCACCTCGGAGACCCCGAGAAAAGTAAGGTGAGTTTATATTGGGATGATGTATTTCCTGGCTGTTCGCCGGGACCTGACAAGTCTGAAACAAATAATCAAACTATGATTCTTAGGACTGCAACCATGGGGTCACCCTATACATGAGGCCCTCACGAGGCTTTGTATGACCTACTAGAAGTTTTCTATCCTTCCCCTCCTCCCATTGCATTTTCTGCCAACAAATGTTTGTCCGGAAAAGAGGCATGAACCTACCTTTAGCCAAAACCAAGAACCAAATGGTAAACATGCCGGCCCCAAACCCCTGCTACGATAAATTTCATCTCCTGTTCCCCAAATTCCCCATCTGATTGGTGGTGCAATAACCATCTTGAAAAATATGAGTTCGTCAGTGGAAAGGATTATCCCATATATATCATGGAACATAATCCAAAGCCATGTTTGAAACCACCAACCAGCCATAAGTTTGGACGCTATCTCCACCTTTCAAAGAAATCCCCTACAAATCCCCTACAGTTCACGGTGTCCAATCGCCAATCGCATCACCGTGCTGTAACGGCACAGGAAAAGACTTACGAAGAACGGCAAACTGTACTGATACATCGGATCGATGTTAGCCTCAGTGTGTCGTGGGATCACCACGGCCATATCCGGCTGAAGATCGTGGTTCCTTAAGGTTTGATCATTACTATATGAATATCTAACACACCTATTAAACTGTATTAAACAGTTCTATTCAGTATAGAATTATAGAACATTATAGAACTACATTTTACAAAGGTTTCCCTGGCACATGTTGCCCAAACTAACATGGCCCCAAAGACAAACCAGCATGCAAGAGGACATTGATAAGCACTCTCTGGGAGCGCAGCTGTTATTTTTCTCTGAGAAAGGACATCTAGCACTGGTAGATTTCTTCCCTGACAGGGTCTCTTGTGCAAGCCATGTAAGCCAACATTACTGCGGGCTGGCAGCATGAACTACTTCGATGACCATAACCCCGAATTCTCGGACTCCATTCGCAGCTAACTGAGTTTTTCAAAATGGGTTGGCAAAGTCTCAGAATTGCCCCTTGGTTCCCCAGGTTTTTTTTTCGGGACAAATATGGCGCCCCTGCCCCAAACGTTGCTCGCAGCGAGGCCAAATCGGAGATGCAGAAGAACAAAATGGCCGTTTTGAAGGCCACTGGCACATAGCCTGAAAGTGGCTCCAATCCGATGGGGAAAGATGTTCTACAGTAAGTGGTGATTCATAGTGATATAACTATGGTGATTCATAGTGATTCATGATTAATACTGGTGATTACATGGCTTAATAGTGATTAATAGTGGTGATATTATTTAATAGTGATTATCACCACTATTAATCACCATGAAGCCATGTAATTATATAATAGCGGCTATATAGTGATGAAAATAGTGGCATAATAGTGATTAATAGTGGTGATTAATAACTATCACGGTGTTTTATGGTGTTTTTTTTTTTAATGGAGTTACCTTCTACTAGTCACATGGCTGGTGTTCAGCACCCCAGTTACTTCGATGTTTTTCCCTCAAAGCGTTCCACTTTAAAAAAGGGGATGTCCCAGCTACCCTCTGGTAAATTAACATAGACCCTGGCAAATAGGGGTTGGAAGACTAGTTTCCATTAAAAATTGGTGAATTTCAGGGTCTATGTTAATTTACTGGAGGGTAATGATGTTTGATGACCGATGGCTACATGCTTTTGTGTGAGACTATCATCTGGTCAAATCCTTGACTCCCAACCGTCCCGACCTATGCTTCACAATTTCTTGCGGCGACCTATGGATGTTCATTCCTCCAAATGTATGCAACATGAAGGAACATCAAATGTAATCATAGGCTTTACTCTCTGGTAGACTCACATAGCCACATAGCTATGGAAAATCACCATTTTACGAGGTAAAACAACCATTTCTATGTGCCATCTATACCGTTGCCATATGTTGCCATGTTCGTTTACCATTGCGGGTAACCCCCAATCGCGATGCGAGAGGCCCAATCGCGCTTCATCGATTTGCTTTTCAGTCTCCTCAGCGATCTCCTGCAGGGGCTGTTTTTTCATGCTGGAAAGTGAGATCACCGGTCTCTATACCCTCTGGTAAACATACAAAAAACCATGGAAAATCATCATTTTTAATGGGTAAATCAACTATAAATGGCCATTTTCAATAGCTATGTTAGTCTACCAGAGGGTATGTCTCTATATGTATTCATCTCATTCATTCGAGATGGTTTTTCGAAGATTTAGATTTTCCATGATTTTCCAAGTTCCGCGGATCCTTTTTTTCGGGTTGATCTAGCCACCAGAAACCCGACCGTTTGCCATACAATGTGAGGCCCCCAAGATAGCCAAGGTGGTGAACATAACTCCAATGTCACTATGGTTTATGGTACTTATAACTATAGTTACTGGGACTTATAAACCAACTTATATCTGGGGCGCCTCACATTGTATGCAATTTGGCTGAGAGAAAGGGGGCACCACTGAATGAAGATTCTCCGACCAACCACTCTGATTTTATCAAAGCCAAACGAAAACATGACTAATGCCGAACACCCAATGCCATGAACCATCCCATAGACCAACCATGAATGGGGGCCATGATAAACATCATCCAAAATAGAGATATATCATGGTATATCATATGTTCAATAATAAACGTCTATTGGGGGTCGTTTACATTGTACATGTGTTTATTATTGGGCATAGCAGGCATAGCATACCACATCACATAGTTCCAGTCTGTTCACCACAACGGTGGAAATCCACCAATAAGAACATAACAAATCATCAGCAAAGGCAACTGACAATTCACAACGATCAATACCGCCTGGCAATTGAAAATAGCTATATTATATGGAAAACTGCAATGTTTCATAGGTAAATCAAACGTAATCAAAAATTAACCATGTTCCGGAATGACCCCCGAAACTCATCAATGTCATCACCGTTTCCAGTGTTTGGTTCGCCAGTGTTAAACGTTTTGGGCACTACATTAGACCAATCAAAAAGTGAATCCCAGATCAATCAGTCGGAATGTTGAAATATATTTCCCATGTTTACCATATATTTACCATATATTTCCCATATAGATTTACCATAGATCATTCCTGCAGCCATGTTCTTGGCTCCGCTGCAAAAGCTAACAGCTTTTGAAGTCAGTGGCCTGCCTCTTCTTCCCATCATGTGGAAAGGAAATCACTCCGGAGATATCAAGTTGATCCATAGCAATACCCAAAAAAGGATAAACAAAGGTAGACACATAGCAATCCAGGACTGGTAGTCAAAACGATAGAAAACCCCATGGATCCATGGCCACTGTCTGAGAAGGTACCCTCCAAATTATAGTAAATTATACCCCAAACACTTCCTAAGAAGATACTTCTGGGATCTCTTGGGTAAATTATAATATTTCACTATCCTGAATTAAGGCCACCAACTTCTTGCGGTCTCTGCCCACCCCCCGCTGACGCCAAGGGCGAACAGGTTCCTGAATCTTGCGGCCATTTGGGGATGATTCCCCTCAAATAAACCATGATTCCCAGGGCTCGGTCGTTATAATTTACCCAGATACTTGGATCCATACAATGTGAGGCCCCCCAGTTATAAGTTGGTTTATAAGCCCCAGTAACTATAATTATAAGATGTTATAAGTACCATAAACCATAGTTATTGGAGTTATGTTCACCATTTTGTGTTGAATAACTTTGGTGATCGATCGCTCGTCCCCATGTCAGATATGTCAGTAGCTTAGTAGCTCATCCCATGTGTAAATGGATCCGTTCACTAAGCCCAGTTACTAACCTCTACTTTTCTCCTATGTTTCTTGGTGAAATCACCAGCTTTTGGCGGGTGAAATGGGGTGATCCCCATGAAAAACCCTGGCAGCTCGAATCTCCTGCTTGGCCGCAATCTTGTTGGACAAGGCTTTGCTGGAGCTCAACACATTGATCGCCGTCTCATCCTGGCGCAAAGCCAAGGGGTTGGTGCCCAGAGGTTTCGTGGACGGTTTCTTTCTTCAGGGTTTAGGGGAGGAAAAAAACATAATTCAGCAGTGCATCGGACAGAATCTTGCCATGAGTTTCAAGTCCTACGCTGTCCAAGGCATTGAATACCCTCTGGTAATTTAACATAGCTATTGAAAATGACCATTAATAGTGGATTTTGCAATTAAATATGGTGATTTTCCATTGCTATGTTAGTTTACCAGAGGGTACATTCCCCAGCCCAAACAACATGTCGTTGATGAACACTTTGTGGCGCCTCCAAGATGTTGCCTTGAGAGGTTTGCAAGACGTGCAGGATCTTGTTCCTCAGGGTGGCTGAAAAAATCTGGTTGCTTTGTGAGTTCCTTACTATTCATTTCGAGATATTTGGAGAAACTATTCTGATGAATTCAAATGTCCTTTGACATATGAGGAAAAACTTGACTTCACTTCACCAAGTTTACCAGTCGTCACTCATAAATGTTGTCAAACCTGGATTCAGTATGATCCAGTGATATCCAGTGATGAAAATGATGACGATGATGCTCATGGTGATTTCGCAGCATTTTTTGGAGCCAGGTTTGAACCGCGGCCACTGGCCACGATGATGGGATAGTCCTCAGAAGATTAGATGCAGATGTTTCTCCTAGCTCAAGAACCTCTCAAAGCAGGTGATTCTGGTGATTTCTGGTGATTTGACGGTGGCCCGGGGATAATAATACCATCTGGTTATTTAACATAGCCATGGAAAGATCCACCATGCTATTAATAGGTAAACCATCTATTTCCATGGGTCATCTATACCATGGCGAACTGTTAAATAACCAGATTTACAATATAATAACGGTGGCCCAAGGATTCATCCCATACGCCATGGCAGCCATGGCACTCAGTTTCCTCCAGTTGTGCTTTGTTTTCTGCCCCTTCGATCACCAATCGAGCCTGCCCCAAACGGCCGGAAGAATCTCCCATTCGAAACACGGCTAGCGCGGCTTGGCATTGGATCTGTTCATGTTTGCGGTCCCCATGGGGGTGAAAAATGAGGGTATTTATCTAATTCTAGGTGGTATATGGGGTATTCTAACATGCACTTGTAATACTGAAAGAATCTGAAAGACATTTTGCAACACTTTGGGGCAGCAGTAGCAGTAGCACATTCCTCCGTTCATGGCAAGCCAATAAAGGACACTACCAAAGAAAGGTATACGGTATACGGGGCTAAAACCTTGGCATGATGACCTGCCAGCCATGGATCGTGGCTCAACCTGGATCTGAAAATCTCACGCATCCCACCGCTCCGCGATCACACTGAAAACTCCAAACCCTTGGCCGGTGGTGAGGTTAGGAAATTTGTCAACAAAAACAACGGATTTCTCATCATGATATAAACATTGTTTATCAATGTTTATTATGTAATTAAACAGTTTGACCCATCACCCAGTTTGACTCAAAAAATAGTAATTAAATATAATTACCATCTGGTTATTTAACATAGCCATGGAAAGATCCACCATGCTATCAATAGGTAAACCATCTATTTCGATTAGGGTCATCTATACCATGGCGAACTGTTAGTCATAACCAGAGGGTAAATCAGGTTTTCCCCCAAAAATTCGTCCCCAAAAAGGCTGGATCACCCGACCTTCTCTTCTGCCAGCTCCGGACGTTCTGCTTGCACCACGATGTTCAACAACTGATCCTGGCCGCGCTGGAATTTATGGAGGTGGAAGCCATGGAAGCCCTGCTTTAAAAAGCATCAAATTGACTTGAAGATGGTTCAGGTACATGGATTCTAGTGATATGACTATATTATAGTGATCATTGTTGGGTCATATATATTATAGTATACTATGGTAAATTATTAATCCTCTACCCACTGGTAATGACTGACATAGCTATTGAAAATGACCAATAAAAATAGTGGATTTTAACACTCTTGAAACATATGAAAGTCAATACGTGAACATGACCATTGAATACATGCTGGTTGGTGGTGCAATAACCATCTTGAAAAATATGAAAGTCAATGGGAAGGATTATCCCATAGATTATGGAAAATAAAAAATGTTTGAAACCACCAACCAGCATGGATTCTTGTCTCAGGAGCTGGTTTTCAAGTGTCTTTAAGTATCAACCATCAAGGCAAACATGGACAAAACATGCAGAATGAACCCTAAATAAACCAAAGGATGGCCTCTGAGCTACCTATCAACGCTTTGGTAAAAGTTTCAATCCACCTATTTTTGTTCCGTAGAAATATAAATTAGAACATGTTTCAAAACAACCGGCGCGGCGAAGGGTATTGTCACCAAGGGTATTGTCACCACAAAAATGGAACGAACAAAAGTGTTTGTTCATTGTTTTTTGGGACTTCACTTAGTTCACTTGTCTATCTTTTTGGTGCTCGCTAGCCGCTATACCTTGTAAATGGGGCGGTTTCAACAATGGAATCCGCCAGCGCATGACATGCAGCTGGTTGGTGGTGCAATTTCACCATCTTGAAAAATGATGGAAGTGATGGAGTGAGTTCGTCAATGGGTTCCGGAATGTTCCGGATGACATCCGGATTATATGAAATGGAATTCATAATCCAGCCATGTTCCAAAGCACCAGTGCAGTCATCATCAGGATCCTTGTGTCAAAGGCTTTTCTGTGATAGTCGCTGATATGTATATGTCGCTTAAATTCAGGGCAACAAGGGCAACAACCGACCGCAAATGTAGCGCCTGAAGACCAACCACTGTGATCATGAAATTCAACAGGGTGACCTGGCAGGAACAAAAATTGATGGATGGGTTTTGGGAAACTTTAAGTAGGACTAAGGCTTGATGGATGGCTTTTGGAACCAACATTCCAATGGGGTTGCCTAGTGGCGATTATCATCATCTCAATCTTTTTGTACTGTAGTTGTTCTCTTTGAATGTCAAGGCCGTGGATATCTGAGACTGCCAATTTTCGTTTACAACCACTGCAGAAAACCAGGCTGTTTGCCATTTTTGCCATATTTCATGCCAGCTGTCTACATTTTATTTGGGGTGTTGGGGATGGCCAACCCTTGGGACATTTGCGCCTTGACTGCGATCTCCGGCAAGTAGTGTGGGTTGCGCAACTTTGTGGTGAGGTAGAACTTGAAGTCCTGCACCGGGGGAAATCATCAGCCCAATTACAAGGGTTGGTGGCGTTCTTTTCCCCAGTTAGAAGTTGGTTTATAAACAAATATTGACATATATTAACCATAGAAACTATGTCACTAAAATAAAGCCAAACGTGAGTTATTGGAGCTCTGTTCACCAACTTAGCGATTCCAAACTGCAGCACCAGCACCTTGCAGGTGATTTTCCGATAAAAACTCCACTTCGTTCGGGGATTTTCCAGCCATGTTTGATTTCCAGAGGGTAGAATTCAAGATACCTCACTTCTGCCTGTAAGATAATTGGTCCACACTAGCCTATATTGGAAAAGCTGGTGGGACTGACTCAGCAAAAAAAAAGCCGCCATAACCCAGGGCGGGCGCCTTGTTATACTCAAGAACCGACTCGCCCAACTTCAGCATCACACGGTTGCCTTGTTTATACGTCCTTAGTGCACTTCGCACGTGGATGTTCCACATCCCTGTCCCAAATGTGACATGCGCAAAAAGTTGGAAGGACTTCCCAATTCGACCGGAAACGAGTGGCAGTTACCATATCCACATTTCATCCATGAATGTATAGGGCATTGTCAGCCTGCAGGCTCAGGAATTACGTCTAGACGCAAAGTCACACTGTTTTTGGTAGCCCAGAATCCGAGAAACATCTATAATGGTGCAAAACAAGTTCAAAAAAAACAAATCGAACCATGAAGATAATATTTGAAGCAGAAACGGTTGTCCTACGGCCTGAGTCAACCAGAAATCTGGTCACAGGTCCCGTCGATACCCTGCATTTTCTTAGACATTTGGAAAAACAACTGGTGAATGTTGGTGAGTGAATATCCAAAATCTCCCCCCCAAAAAAAGTTCGGCCGGTCGTGACTGTCGTGCAAAGCATGCTTTGCATAAGTCCCACTAGGTCGATAGTCGATGGTTAAGTCCGCTGCCTTCCAATATCCCCCTAGAAAAAACACCAAATTGGAAGGGGATATTAAACACATATTAAACACAACAAAAACCTGGGTAATCATTCGAAAATACCCCGTACCCGTTGACTAAAGACAATGTGGGTAAAACAAAAATACAAACCATCCCCCAGTCATCGCCATTTTTATAGGTGGTATGGTTACCATTCCCAGTTAATTATGGGTGGTTTATGGCATTGTTTTGCCAATATGATGTACCAATATCCCATTATCATCATTCTTATCATCATGATAATGATCATTATTATCCAATTATAAGCATATTAGATTAGCATACCATTCTTATACCATTAACATCCATTAACCAGTGGAACCAGAGTTAGAAATCACTACTGAAGCCATACTAAACGACCGACCGGAGGTGTGAAAACATCGACCCAAGAGGCTGCTTGAGCAACACGGGCTCAATCGCTGGGTCTGTCTCCTGAAGGATGGTTGAAACCGTTGAATTCATAAAAATCATGGGATAAACCACCTATTGACCTATTGACTGATGCAGGATTTGTTCATTTTTCCATCCACCGTATCAAGTTGAACCCTCCACATGTATGATTTGATATTCGCTGTAACTATTGGAATTCTATTGAATGATCTATAATTCCAATGGGTTGGTTTGAAGCAAAAGCTTCAGGAAACCATAGATGTTCCCATTAAATATGGGGCTTTCCTGTCAAAAATATCTTAAACCAGTCCATTGATAATTCTGTTGAAACTCTTAATAAAACACCAAACCACAGTCGGAGAATCATCCATAAGTCTTGAATATCATAGCACAGCTTGAACCACAGAAATCCATCCCTAGATTCCAATCATAGTAAAATATCGACCCACATGTTGGAAACACATCTATACAATGTGAGGCCCCCGTTCGATAGCTAAGTTGGTGAACATAACTCCAATGTCACTATGGTTTATGGTACGCAAATAACAAACTAGTTACTGGGGCTTTTGTTAACCAACAAACATCACTGGGGGGCCTCACATTGTATACCCTCTGGTAAACTAACATAGCTATGGAAAATCAACATTTTTAATGGGAAAACTCACTATAAATGACCATGTTCAATAGCTATGTTAGTTTACCAGAGGGTAACTATTGAGCCAGCACTGACTGTCATATACTCCAGCAATCTCCGGTTAACTGTTTTGGAAGCCCAAGTCGTCTTGGACGCCGCCCGAAAAGGCATCCTCCAGGATATTCTCGATCAACATGGGGTTGCCGTAGGTAATGCAGCCCTGACAGGAAATTGTGGCAATTTTGTGGCCGAAGCCCCAACTTTGGGAGATTGTCAAAAAGCTGCGACAAAGGTGGGTCTTACATGGTCTTACCCGTTTTGGCAAATGAGAATAATTCACACCAAAACAAGAAATCTCGCTTCTAACATCTTCTAAGCGTCCTATTATGGCTTGATCATGGCCATAAATAGGCGCCATTGTTGCCTAAGCTGCGGAGGAAACTCTGATACCGCGCTTATTTTTTCGGACGATGCTGACGCTGTCCCAAATCCATCCAAATCCCAGCCATTCTTTTGTACTCATTGTAGCATCCTTGAAATCATATTTGTCTGCTTAGTGAGGCAAACAAAACATGCCTTACACATATATAATCACGTATATATATATATAGACGTGTTACTTTTAAGCGAAACCTCTCGAATGGCGAATCCAAAACCATAAATGCCATAAACCATCTAAACATTTTATGATATACCCTCTGGTAAACATACAAAAAGCTATTGAACATGGCCATAGAAATAGTTGATTTGTGGATTTTTCCATATATGTGGCAGTTTACCAAAGGGTAAGTGAAATCATCATTAATCACCATTAATTCTTCGTTATTAACCCTCATTAACCACCATTAATCACCATTAATGTTAGTTTACCAAAGGGTAGTTGCCATATCCAATGACTCTACAAGTCGACATGCGGTGCAGGTCCAGGTCCCTGGACCAGGTCCCACCTCCAAACGCCGGATGTAGTCGCTGTCAGTGAACTTCTTCACAGCTAAGGTGTTGGGCTCCTCCATTTTCTTGATCCACTTGTTCGCCTAAGCGCGGAATGGTATGGATCTTAAAACGGGGCAACACACAAGAGGCAAGACAGAAGATATAGATGGAATGGATGATATAAGATGATATAATCTGATATAAGATGATATAAGTAAGATGGAATGCTAGGTGGTAAGTGTGTTAACTTGTCAAGGTTCCAAAACGAAATAGAACACATGATTACTAGAAACAACAGGTAGTAGAAGTTGGAATTGATCTTGAAGCCCCTGAAATGTGACATAATCATAGAGCCCTTTACAAATACGCTTGAAATGGTTTGAGTAGAGAATCACTCAACGTCTGCCGAACAACTAGCCCATTAAATTGAATTCAATGCAATGCATAAGTATAAATATATATATATATGTGTATGTGTGTGTGTGCGTGTTTATTTGTTTTATTCTGAACAAACCTTGATAAGTCAAAAACAAAGCAACATCCATAGGTCCATATTCCTAAGAACCCTTTTTATTTCATCTATGGCTTCCCCATTTAATGGGGTAACTCTCCGTGTATCAACTGAAGGCGTCTGGCGCACCTGGCCCTGAGGATCAATGCACAAGGGCCATCGCCGGGACTTGTCCACGATGATGCCATTCCTTTCACGGCGGAGCCCGGACGGCGTTCAAGGCCAGCGGCCAGGAGGGGTTAAAATTTAGTTAAAAGGGTGAAAGATACTTTTTTAGGAATCGTATCTAAAAGATTCTAAAAGTATCCTATAAGATCTGTAAGCATTAACCATTTTAACCCCTCTGTATCTCATTTTTATACTAACCCCTCTTTTTAGATCCTACAATAATCTTGAAGTCTGTAGGAAATCCCATTTAATCTGACATTTTGAATCCGACATTTTGGATTTTAGATGATGATCTCCAAAAAGATGTTGCAGAACATGGATCCTTAAATAAGAGTGGTACTTCTCACATTTTTGTCATGATTACCTTCTGGTTGTTTAACATAGCCATGGAAAATTGCCCATTTATAGATGATTTACCTATTAATAATGGTGATTTTCCATGGCGAACTGTTAAATAACAAGAGGGTAAAATCATAATAAGGAAACCCACTGCTAAAAAATGACGAAGGCCATGGTCAGCCAAGGGTCTCAATGGAGAAGGCGTCGTTGGGCAAACCACAAATGGTCCAGTTTCGAATCTTCACCGGCTCACCCAAACAGTCCTACTGTCTGGGCTTATAACTGGGGATTTTCCATTTATCATGGGGATATAAGTGGGGATAAGTGGGTAATAAGCTGTATACAATCACCATCCTGTTGGTGGTTTCAACCCCTCTGAAAAATAATAGCCAGTTGGGAATTCCCAATACGGCATATGGAAACATAAAAAATGTTCCAAACCACCAACCAGCCATAGTATGACCCACTTATATATCCGATAGACCTCGAGGAATCAACCGTGGCAATGGATGCTATGTTGATTGCCGGAAGGTAACTGGGGATATTCAATATATATATATATATATAATTGGGAGTGCAATATGGTATGGTTAGTAATCCAATTACTAGCTGGGGTGCAGCAATTTGTTGGCGAAGTTGGTGAACATAAGTAGGTGTTGGGCGTCTGGTAGATGTATCGAAGAAGTTCATGGGATATATAAACCAACTTGTAGATGGGCAGGCCACTTGGTACAATACGTGAAATTTAAGAAAAAGTCCAGACCCTATCCCCACCTTGCATGCAATTGCTATAAGTGGCAAGATCAATTCACAAATTATTCATTTATGGGATTCTACGCTCACCAAGGGACAGCTGACAAATGCCGGCTATCTTGGATGACAACGCTTGCAGCTTGCAGCCCATCGACTGCAAAATCCTCAAATCTAGGCAAATGATGGCAAATGTCTATATTATATATATGTTGCCCAAAATTCCGTACTGAGCCAATTGTATGGATCATTTTGGCATGAATGTTCCCCGTCAATCCTCATTTCTTTTCGGCTTGGTCAGGGCTTGTCATATCATCCCATGACTTCGCACATAAATCGCACTCCTCCAGGCTAACCTTCTCCTTCCCCGGGATGGATTTCTGGAGGGACAGCTCAGTCCAAGATTTGACCTGGCAGCCAGCACGGTGGAAACCGAGGGAAACCGGTGGAAACTGGGCCGAATAAAAACCACCCACAACAGTGGGCCCAGTTGAACTTTTTGGGGTCGCAGATTTTTCCCCAGATTTTCCCAACAGAATTTCCCGGATTTTTTTTTATCGCCATGGCACTGTGCGTTCCCGGAAGTCGGGGGTGAAGGCGCCCAAATACGCGATCAAACCGCTGCACACGATGACGTCGCCTGTGTCACGACCGTTGTGCTGATGGGGTGGGTCTGTGCCACCGCGTCTGAAAAAAAGAGTTCACTGTCTTGGACACATCATGGGGGGGGTCCTTGCGAAATGTCAGGATCTATACCCCATAGGATCCATGTATGGGATATATGCTAACATTTGGGGTATATTGATGGGATCCATGTTATAAGATATGGCAGCACCATGGATCCGTCATGGGTACTAAAATCTGTGAGGTCAGGTTATGTAAGGCCGATCTAAGAGCGAGATTTCAGGGACAATCGCGCCGAGATGTCATTGCTACAGACTAGACTCGACGGCTCAAAATCGCTTCACCAAAAACTATCCGGATTCACTCCATGCTTGTTCCCATTAAGTTTTGTCCCCACTATAACCAGCATGTTCCTTGGTTAATCATAATTTGTTCCGTTTTGTCCCATTAACAAAGCTATTTCAAAGCAGTTTTCAAAACATAGAGTTGTTGATGATAGTTAAACACATTTAATAATTTCAATATCATTCGAATCATACTATTTTTGGATATGTTTGCTTCACCATGTTCCTAACGCCCAAGGCCCAGCCCGTCAAATTCACATAGTCCACGGCCAAATCCTGGCGTGCAAAAACGCGGCGCGTTACGCCCAGCGTCCATTGAAGCGTCCGGAAACAATGCGGACTTAGAGCGAATTATGATAGCTAAGTTTGTGCAAATCACATCAAAAAACATTATAATTTGGGTTTATGATTCTAAAAACTATGGTTTGATGGGGTTACGAGCCAACTTACAACCAGGGGGCACCAACATCACCAACTTGCAGGAGGATTTGGAAAGGTAGTAGCTTCACCGGGACCCAATCAAAAATGAATGCCCAATTTGCCAGAAATGGGTTTTACAAAGCCCCACAGTTTGAACTTTACCATCGGTTTGGTCAACCCAGAAATGGGACTTGAACAACTTGAACCTACAAGTCCCAACTTACCATCTGGTTATGACTAACATAGCCATGGAAAATCACCATTTTAATAGGTAAACCATCTATAAATGGGCCATTGTCCATGGCTATGTTCAATAACCAGAGGGTACGTTCAAATCAACAAAACGTGAGGTTAGATTGCAGAGTTATTGTCCCTTTTTTTGTGTGAAGAGTTGCCATATGCTTGGCCACATTTAAGCATAAACCGAACAAATAGATACCTCCGCTGAGAGGACCACAAGAACCCTGAAAAGGGGTGCCAAAATCCATCGCAATTTACCCTCTGGTAAACTAACATAGCTATTGAACATGGCCATTGATAGTGGATTTACCCAGTAAAAATGGTGATTTTCCAGAGTTACGTTAGTTTACCAAAGGGTAAGGCATCTTTGAGGGTCAAAGTGACTAAGCATTCTAAAGAACCGATGGGAACATCTGCAAAAGGGTTGGTCAATAAGGTTTCTGAGTTCAGAAAGGTCGTGACCATCCTCACTAAATAATAATTACCCTCTGGTAAACTAACATGACTGTGGAAAATGGCCATGTATGGTTGATTTACCTAGCAAAATGGTGATTTTCCATAGTCACATTAGTTTACCAGAGGGTATACAAAGGGAAGCATCACCCCCCTAATAATCATCCGTTTTCGTAGGTGATCCGGACTGATGATTCACACCGGGCATATTTGATTGATAGTTGACTTGTGCTGGCTGGTTGATACGGATTCCCCGATAAATGGATTGTGATACTGTATTCCCCCATATGTTGGTTAGTATAATCTCCCCAAACTATCATCAATCAACCATCATTTTCAGTTATATCACTTGTATCCCCATAATTTGAGTCTTCAATCCCCTATGAAATGACGAACTACTTGGAAGTGCATCCAACTATTATAGAAAGTGATTAACAACCAAGCATAGTGTAGCCCAGTTTTATATGGTTTATAGATGGCTTATCTATAGCCTATCGACTGCTTACTAACTGTTAACTGTGAGATGCACATTTAATAAGTATAAGTATAAGTATAGATGGTTACTCCCAATATAACCCCCATATAACCCATTATAATAAGTCAGTAACTATAGAGTATAGATGGTTACCACCAATATATATAACCCATTATAATGAGTCTTTATATAATATATATATATGTTTGTATACATCTATATTCTATATATATATATATAAATATTGGTATATATATATAGATAGAGAGAGATATTAATATAGATATATCACTATACATACATATAAATAAATAAATATATATATATATACAATGTGAGGCCCCCAAGATAGCTAAGTTGGTTTTTAACTCCAATAACTATGGTTTATGGTACTTATAACCATAGTTACTGGGGCGAATCTAAACCAACAAACATCACTGGGGGGCCTCACATTGTAGGGCTTATAGCATATCAACATCAACGTTCGCAGATCGCCGTCCTTGGCGTTCTGCGTCCATCGGCTCTTCTCGCCGCCCAGGGATTCGATCAAGGTCTCTGCGCGGTCCTTGGACCAGGATTCCGGGGCAGTTGAAGGTGGCTTCATGGAATTGAAAATGCTGAAACATAGGGAAACTATGGGGAAACCAATGATTTTACCATCTGGTTATGACTAACAGTTCGCCATGGAAAGATCCATCCATTTTTAATAGGTAAACCATCTATTTCTATGGGCCATCTATACCATGGCGTTGTTCAATAACCAGGGGGTATGTGGAATATATGATATGAATTGATCTGATATGATATTTGGATGTGTCATTGAAATGGGGATTTACCGTAGGACATGATGGGATTCACCAGCTATATATAATCAGTGGAAGTGAGTGGGATATCATGGGATATAGATCACGAACATTTTTTTGGGGTGTCTAAAAATAGGGTACCTTCGGTTTATGGCATTTTTATAATAAGGAAAACTATGATAAATCATGGGGTTTTGCAGCAACGACCCACAAAATCCCATTCGACTACCCGAGCATTGACCGAATAATGATTGCTCCCAATTGAAATATTGTAATATAATCATGTTGTGTCTGCATGGTCATTAATGAATTTGACGTTGCTATGATCGTCGGGAACCCGTCTTTTTCGATCTGTTTCGTGACCAAGGTCTACTCACAACAACAACAACAACAACAACAACAACACAACTTTGAGCTAGTAAGTGTACCACCAGTACTTGCAAAAAACACAACTACAGTACACATTCTTGTTGGCTTAACCCGCCATTTTCCAAGCCCAGGCGCCAATTTCTTTTTGCACAGATCCACTTGATACGCCAAATCGTCCTGCCGAAAGAAGGAACCCCAAAAAATGATGTTGAAACAATATATACTCTCCGGTAAACTAACATGACTATAGAAAATAACCATGTTTTATATTGTTTTATAGGTAAACCATCTATAAATGGACCATTTTCCATAGCTATGTTGGTTTACCAGAGGGTAATTCTTTGAAATGACTTGCTGCAATGCCTTTTGTGTCCAGGTACACAGGTACATTGCCAGTATGTATGGGTTCCCACATGTTCCCACTGAAATCAGCTGTGGTTGAATCCCAGTTTTTGATCTTCCTGTAAATTAGGATAAAATATAGAAACCTGAATCAGTTCTGCCATGTGGGGCCCAGTTACCTCTGATCTAATATATATATATAGATAATATCTATCCATATGTATTTGTATATAATTATGTGTATACATATATATATATATATATATGAACATCTATACCTTCCCAAACCTTTCCGGCGTTTGGTTCAAAGGGCCGTCGCTTTTTCGGGTTCCCAGGTCCTTCTCAGCTTTCAGGCCATTCAGCTGCGCCTCGAGCTCAGCCAATTGATCCAAGACCTATGGAGGAACGGCGCTCGGAATCTGGATGGGTTTTTAAAAAAAACAACAGCAGAAATCCCATGAAAATCCCGTGAACATCCAGAAACCATGAATTTAGGAGTTCATTGATTGATGGTGTGTTTTTGTTTTGTTGAATTCAGTGTTAACCTCAAAAGAGCTAAGAAGTTATATATATATATTAAATATCATTCCTGGGGGTCAAAGAACTTGAGATGAGGAAGGTCCAACATGAACATATCATACTATGTGCCCCCCCAGTTATAAGATGGTTTATAAACCCCATTAACTATAGTTACAAGCATCATAAACCATAGTTATTGGAGTTATAAACCAAATTAGCTATCTAGGGGGCCCCACATTGTATCATATCATGAACATATGAGTAGGCGACTTCGCCAAACCATCACTGGACTTTTTGAGTTCGCGGCATTTGCCCCGCGGGCCGATGACCCCGATTAAAACTTGGATAATTGATGATACTTGCTTAAGGGCCACAATAAATGGATTAACATATTAACACAAGTAGTTCTTAATTTACTTAAGTAATTTCTTGGGTAATCCCAAGTTGATTGGTCCACTTGGGACATTAACATGTTGCTTCCAGTTGATTAATCACCCGGCAATCCAACATGGCAATTGGAAATCCCCATTGAATGGTGTTTTTTTTAATGGGAAAATCATCGAACTGCATGGGATATCAATATCAGCAATCCATGGAGCTGATTAATAATGGTGTGTAAACACTATCAATAAACAAACGCACCAAATCCAGGATAACTGGAATATATTCAGGGATACACCACACTTCTGAGCACCATGGAAATCATACCTTCGGTTTGATCTTCCCAGTAGAGCAAAATGTCACTTCTGCAGGTCGGTGTTGATGATAGTCTTGAAAATATAGGTAGCAAATTCATATCTGATGATAGCGTGAACATGGAGACAAACCGACGGCCTTGAGAAGCAAATGACAGAATGCTATGAGTTGTATAGACATGTGCCCGGTATTGCCCGGTAATCAAGCATGGTAGTCTGTGGCCCGTGGCAATAATAAGTCCGTATACATATATATATATACATATGTATATATATGCTATTATATGCTAGGGTCAAAACATAGTAATTATAAGGTTAATGGTCATCCATGCCACCATGCGAATCCCAACATCATGGGTTTTTTTTGAATCCCTGGATTCATGACCATCCCCAAGTATGGAAAAAACATCATCCGAGTAACTTCACCATGGCACTTCACTTAACATATGATTTCACACCGTGGCGCCTGATGGAGAACTGGTGTTCCCATGGATGTCCTTTTCCCATTGGTTGGTTGATTAATAGAGGGGGTTGTTTACCCCTTTGACAACAGGTTTCTATGATGACAGATGGTATACCAAACCGGCCCCTCTATTTTTATCAAAAGGACATTATTGGGTGTTCCCCCCAAGCGCTTCCCCCGCCTTTTGCAACTCAGCACGCTTCTCGTTCAATTTTTCCATCACCTCAAAGGCACCAAGGTACCGATCCACACAGGTACCGGTCATGATCCCATGATCCACTCGACGTGTTTTAGTCTGACCCGGCCTGGTAAACATACAAAAAACGATGTAAAAGATGGAAAGATCCGGCATTTTTCATAGGTAAATCAACTATAAATATATGGGTCATGTTCAATAGCTATGTTAATTTACCAGGAGGAAAAAAACATCCAATTCTGCTAATCTTTATGTCGACGATCATGGTCACTCTACTCGGATAGCAATGCTTCTTGTATGACCTACTTAGTTAGCTTGCACTTCTCATTTCTTGAAAAGGGCAATTGTTGTGGTAATTAATCATACGTCCCGTGATTCATTGCTGGTAACCTTCCATTTTTTCTGGAAATGTCTCAAAAGGTGTTTAACCATCCCGTCGCCCACCAGCCAAAAAAAAATCCTATCCCGATGAAACTTGATTGATCACTCTTTGTAATTCAGGTGTTTAACCATCTACTATATATACAATGTGAGGCCCCCCAGTTATAAGTTGGTTTATAAGCCCCAGTAACTATAGTTATAAGTACCATAAACTATAGTGACATTGGAGTTATAAACCAACTTAGCTATCTTGGGGGCCTCACATTGTATATATATATATATATTATATACACATCGGGCATAGATCACAATTTATAGATGTATACACAATTGCAATCCATCCAGGATATGCAATCTACCTCTATATATATATACACACCCTCCAGGTCCTGCTAATAATCAAACATCGATATCCATTCTTAGACCCCAAAGGATACCCAGGAATCACATACCTCAGCTGCCTCTGCATCATTCCAAGTGCCATCAGCCACTAATTCTGAAGCGCTCTACCGATTACAAAAGAGCCTTCTGTAATTATATATATAAATACACAGTACATATCCCAATTCTAAGGGATCATACCCCAGTTTAAAATTCCCATTCCAAAAAAAAACATATAGCACTCCTTGTTGTTTCTATCCACCATCTTTTTCCATCCGATTTTCCCAACCGGTTCGTTTTAAAACCACCGGATACCCTACCATGGCAGTCGCCATGCCCCCCCAATGGCCTCCGCGTACTCCGCCTCCGCGATGGCCAGCGCCTCCTTCTTGGGACCCACCACCTTGGCCACGCGGTCGTAGGTCTCCATGGCGCGAACCCACATGCAAATGCCTGGAGCTGAGCCGCTGGGGCGGAGAGCTGATGTGATCTATAAGGATTACTATAGGGTACTTAAGGTGTCTATGTGTATATATATATATACTATATTATACTATAGGATCTATCAGGTATAGTGAGTGTTGTAGAGGATAGGGGAGTTTTTGAAGATTGATGATGTATTTTGATTCAATGTTGAGATTGAAAGTGTGGAAATGTTCGGGTTGAGAAGAAGAACAAGAAATCATGGAGTGCAAATGAGGTCAGCTTCCCAATGTTGGTGAGATTTATGATGTGCCCTGTCAATGCACGATGTCACATGTCCATTTTTGTTGAAGTCTGAAAGAAGGAATCCAAAAAACACTTCTTAACCTACCAAACTAAGCCTTCCCAACAAAGCAACAGCAACCCCAGTAATACCCCAGGTTCAAGGGTACTGCAGGCACTGACATGCTCGATGGGCCCACTTTGACTGCGAACCTAGGGTGCTTTATGTATATAAAATTCTCCCAAACACATCGCCTATATGCTGCTCTTATATGTCTATTCCAATATATTAACACCTTTCCCAAGGATATGCTTTAACATATGTTTTAACAGGTGTGTTATGAGGTGTTATGTTTTTTTTTAAAAAATATGATTTTCATATATGGCAATGTTTTCTCCCAACGCAAACACACCCTATATTTCAAGGCACCCCAGGCAGCTGTACTGCACGTCTTGACGCGAGCAGGTTGGAAGTCATCCAACGGCATAAAGGTTTGAATCCTGTCGCGCTCCGGTGAGATCAAAACTGATGAACTTCAGGAACCCTGCGGGAAAAAACAACGGCCTTCCATCTGGTTATGACTAACATAGCCATGGAAAATCCCAACCATAAATGGAGGTTTTAATGGGCCAGTTTCCATGGCTATGTTAAACAACCAGGGGGTAGAATAAATGTATCCTATTTTTTTTTGTTTCACCCTGGTGTTGATGTCCTTCATCAAGAGTGAATCAAACATGTTTGAAGAAAAAAATCATGGGAATAGCAGCTTGGGAACTTTGTGGGAATTGCTGTTCCCTCTTGGGATCCCACAAAAATCATCGAAAATCCAGAAAAAGTCACCAGTGATGATGTTCATTTTTCCATTCCGCCAAGGTTCTTCTTGATGGTCGCCGCTGGGATGTTGTCCTGACATCTGGTTTGGAGAGGGCCACCTAAAGGATTTGTTTAGACAATTTCAAACAAACAATAGTGATGACCAATGGGAGAAACAAACAATCGGGATGACCAATGCGGAAAAAAAAAACACAGATTTGAAACATTCAATCCAAGATCATCCAATCAGCATTTTGGCAAGAAGTGCCACTTCTTGCAGAGCACTGCGGAGTTGGCAAGTCTGCCGCACCTCTCTTTTTTGGGTCCCAGCCCATCCCCAGCATCCGCCTTGTCGAAGGATTGCAGAGATCGCAGGAAATCGGATTCGCCCACCATCTTCACAGAGGGTCCCCAGAAGTCTTCCACCATCTTCCCCGACTCATCCTACCACAGGACGACACATCTTTCGGGAAACTTCCGTTAAATTGTCTGGTTGGTGGTTTCAACATGTTTCAACCCTACCCCCCTGAAAAATGGAGTGAAAGTCAGATTGGATCATCATCCCAACTATTGGGAAAAATACATGTTCCAAACCATCAACCAGTTGTCTGTTTAAAATCTGCCATTGTTTTTGAGGAAATCTTCAGGTGGTAGAAAAAACTCCAACAAAAAAAATCACACCATCCAAATCATCCAATGGTTCCGAACGGGAAATCCGGATGAAAAAAAAACACATCAAATCTCCAACAACCGAATTCGAATACCATATCCACCATGGAAATCGGCAACATATTGCAATCATATTGCAACATATCCCATGCTCCATGTATGGTATATTTATCTACAAAACTGGGTGATGTTTAAGGCAAATGTTGGTAAATATTCCAACACCATGGGGCATATGATGCATCACATCACATCGGATCGCCCTGTTTGGTGTCGCTCCTTCACGCGATTGGGCTTAATGCTCTTCATGATGCACACTGCCTGCAGGACCAACTTCACCTGTTCGCTGATCAACGCCATCGAAATATAGGGCTTTACCATGGTTTACCCACCAAAAAAGGGGATAGACGTCGTTTCTTAACATGCCTTTTCAACCTACAACAGTCACCAAACATCTAGGTAAGATGGCAACTAGGCAAATGCTTGGGTCTTATGATATTGTATCTATGATGGATATATATATATATGGGTAAATTACAATAATTCACTAACCTAAATTAAGGCCATTTGGGGATGATTTACCCAGATATATATATGTATATATATATATAGATCTACAGTATTCTACAGTTGGAGTGAAACTAAATCCATTTCTGGTGGCCGTCTCCAACCCTTCGGCTCCACTTCGCCAGAGCACAGGCCCAGGTGGGTTCTTCATTGCTTTGATTTCTCCTTGGTGATGTGTGCACTCACCGTAGGATTTCATGAACCCGACCATTTCGTGGGTTTCAGTGCTGAAAACGTTGACCAACTCTGGATTCCAAGTTTTTTGATTACCTGAAAAAGTTATAAAAAGTTCGGCCAATAGTTAGTAAATGTGTTTTAAAGATTATGTGTGGGGATCTGAAGTTGGGTGGAAACAAGCTTATCAAGGGGTGGCACTGCATTGCAGAAAAATCCTTCAAATAATGCACCCATGCCCAAATAAGGCTTACTCAGAAACCAATTGGTTATACGTGGCCAACACCAAACATGGTTGGTTCACATGCATCCCCCTTTATGATGAAAAAATCTCAATCTCAAGCTTTAAATTGCCCATCCAAGGCTAACACATTTACATGTGATCACTCAAAAATGGATGGGTCGCACTGTCGCACGGTGTAACTCAATCAATTACGAACAAGGACCAGCCCTGTGATTTTTCAAATGGTTCCGCACCTTCAACCTAACCTTTACCCAATTCTTCAAAGATGTGGAAAACTCAGAATTTCCAGATCATGCCCCTCTGGAAAGCATGATTTTTCCACATCTATGTCACTTCGGATGTTATTCCCATCTATATCCCCAATCATTATAGCCCGCTCATATCCCACTATAATAGATCATTATAGTTATAATATATCATTATAGTTATAATATATCATTGTATATTCAATTAAACCAGTAATCAATGGGAATTTCAGGATCCAATTGATGGAGGTACGTTAGTACCATTCTTCAGGCCATATTTTGTGGGGATATTCCCTGAAATTTAGGCCTTTTTTCTATGGTAGGTACCTCCAATAAATCGGTTCCTGAAATGCCTCCTGTAACGCCGGGTCTCCAATATCTTTGGCCGACAACGTGTCCAGAGCGCCCAAGGCTTCAGTTAGAGCCGGCATGGCCTTGTGGAGAAAATCCACACCATTTTTGGGTGTGTTAAATGGGAAGAAATTTGGGATATGGCAGTGTGTCAAAACCTTGCACCCCTCGTGAACATCAAAATAGCTGGTAAATGGATGTTCATCCCACTAAAAATGGTATTAATAGGTATTGATCCATACCCATATGACTGTGGATGATGGCATTGAAAACCTGATCTTATCATGATTGTTTATGTGATATTATAGTCTAATCTATAGTTATTATACTGATTGTAATATATTATAGTGGAAGTTTACGGGATAATGATTAATCATGGGAAATGGTCGGGTATAACTCAGAATCATGTGATATAGGGATCTAGTGGGGAATTGATGGGACACAACTAGGAATCATATATATATATATAGAATCATATAAGATATCATATGATATCCCCCTTCTGGTCATCTAGCAGTTTGCCATGGAAAAAATGCCCACGTTTTTTGTTTGCTTCACAGCTCCACCGTCCATGGTTTTCATTGGTACCCCAGGCCCCCATACCCAATCTGATAAGTTCACACCAAAAAAAACATGAGCCCCATTGAAAACTATCAATAATAATTAAAAAAAATCCATTAGTATACATTAGTCATATTCCATCCCAAACCCCATTGACCCCAGCCCTAATCCTGGTATCTTATAACTTATAACCATATCACTTCTTATCAATGAACCAAAACCCCATTAATTACTTGATGCCCACCCCAAGGAACACTTCATTATCATTGATAATCGCACATTCCAAAACCTCACCAACATCCATATTGCCAAAAGCAATCACACATCCATCAAGTCAATTCCCAAGAAGACTCCGCTAAAACGTGCTTTAGTTCGTCAGGTAGAATCCGGTAAAACCAGTCCAATTCCCCACTCCCAATAAACCACAGACTACTTGGATTACTTGGACCATCACAGATGGCGAACCATTGATAACAACTATATAGAATAATTATCCAACAAACCCCCCCGAAGTCCCGAAAATCTATCAAGATCAAGTACTAACATCACTTAAATTCGCCCATTTTGAACAACATTATATATAATATATATATATATATGTGATATAATCTTACGGACCGTATACTTCAATACTTCAAGCATGAAAATAGATCACCTCAAACCTTCCAGAATCTCCCCCCATCTCCATCCCATCTCCACCCCATCCCCATGGTTTGATAAAAGTTTTTAACCAAAAATATCATGAAATATCCGTGTACGAATCATCCCATCCCATCTCCATAATTTAATAAAAACCATGAATCACCATTTCAATCTATTTCATATATCATATATATATATATATCCAGTTTTACTATCATGGCCAATCTTAGATACGCAAAAAAACTACAATTCTTAGCCTCTGAAGGTAGATAATCTACCAAAAGACTAGGATTAGTTTGTACCCATCCAGTTGATTGACCTATGGCATCCTATGGGGCTAGGTTCATTGCCAATCTTAGATACCCCGCAAAAAATAAAAAACGATCTTTGCTGGTGAACGTAGATATTCCCATTGATACCACAAGACTAGTTAGGATTGGGAATCAATGGGAATATGACCATTGATATCCATCTAAGATTGACCTACCCTCCGGTAAACTAACATAACTATGGAAAATGGCCATTTCTAGTTGACTTTCCCATTAAAAATTGCCATTTTCAATAGCTATTTTGACATAACCGGAGGGTAGGCTTCATCTCATCCCATGGTCCAATGCTCCCATGCTCCGCTTTCTGCGCCTCCTCGAGGTCCGCCTCCACCTCCGCTTTCTGCGCCTCCGATTTGGCCGCCGCCTCCGCGGCCACGGCTTCATCTGCGGCCACGGATTCTTTCACCTCGCTGCGTCGAAGACCGAGGTGGGAAACACCTGGGGAAACACCTGGGAAAATACCTGGAGATGGTGACCAGATGGTGTTTGGATGATGTTGGAGATTGTTTAGTGTGTTTCGCATAAGTCTTTTTTTCTGGAAGTTTAATGTTGGTTTCTTGGGCTTTGCGGTGATTAGAGATGTTCTTATTAGAGGATAAATATAAAGATGCTTTGCATTTATGTTGCTTTTCTTATTTTCAAGGGCTTTGGATACGTGCTGTTGTTTCCTTTAACGGCGTGAAAAGCAGGGAATTCGCATGAATTCGCCAGCCCTGCCTTGGCGGTCTTTTCGGACTCCTCACCCACCACGATCATCATCTTCTCCACCTCTTCATTCCTCAGCAGGCTTGGAGGGTGGAATTTAGGAGGGGAGACTGGGGAGACTGTTTGATTTTGAAAATTAACTGTTAAATACTGTTAATCATTGTTAATCTATGTTAATCTGGTAATCCCTCACATTAAGACATTCAGAAACAGCACCGTAGAAACCGTGGTTTGGTATGGGGTCCGTATTCTATTCATTTTGTGCCAGATACGCGGGTATTCAATTAGGGCGATGGGGTTACGTTTAACTAGCATCCCCAAGCCATGCATTCCTTTCGCCATAGTTTGGCGAACAATGTTTCAAATACCCCAGGGGTGAACATAGAAAACGCTTGTGACATTCCGATGCTTTTGAGTGGATTTGCTCATTTCCATCCCAATAATCTCTGAATTCGTGTGATTTTGCACATTCTACATCATTCTGCCCCCATCACAGCCCACTGCTACCACTGACTCTCGGTTTTTCGATGGTTTTTTCGACCGAGGCTCTTTGCGATTAATTTGGGTTGCAGATTGATCAGTTCCACCTTCATTCCCTCCACAGATTGCTCTGTGGTGAGAATCTTGTCCTCAGTGGATCAGGTATTTTCCCTGGCGAAGGCAAATCAACCATCCGGGCTTTACCGTTCTACTGGTCAAAAACTGTATTCCTATATTAAATTGTAATGATCCAAGTCTTACTTTTCACTATTCCTCAATAGATTTCAATAATTTCGTTGAACCCCAATGACCAAACTTGACCAAACCATGAAGCAATGGGTAATCTTTTACACTCACGTCAAGGTTCCAGGCCCTTCTCGTATTTATCCTTCAAATCCGTGACCTGTTTTCGCTTGCCACCCAGGAGTGTCTTGAAGGTCTGAATGAGCTCCAGGAAAGAGGTGGGAGTGGCGTAGTAGATGCGCTTCAAGCTGTTTTTGAACCTTAGGCTACCGTGGGCAATACATATATCACATACATAATACATAATGATATATATCATAGTGTAAAATATGCAATATATATATATATACATATATATTGTATTGTGATACGAAAACCATCAGCTACATCCATACCATCCATATCATCCATCTCATCCATACTATACAAATAATCCATATTATCCATTAAATCATGGCCCGTTCTTTATGCAAGCACAAGGCCCCAATGGCAGCCACGGCACTCCACGGCCAGCTCAGTCGTCTGCGAATGGAAGACGGAACACATCTCCACACAACTCGCTCTGACCGCCTCCTCCATTTCCACCTGAATGAAAGCTGGGATGATAAATTAACCAACAGTGTTGGGAAAACGGTGTTTTAACCGCTTTATATGATAGTTAGGTTTGTAAATGATAGTAGATGTGATTGGTGATGGCTAAGTTGTTGCAAACAACTCCAATAGCTGGGGTTTATGGTAGATATACCTTTTGCATCCTTTTGCTAATACGTCTTATGTACCAACTTATGACGGGTGACGCCGACCTCGAGGTTCTCTTCACTGTCGGTGTTCATGTCAAAAACATGTCAATCAATGGATCAAGAAAACTATTTGACAAACAATGCTCTTTGGGGTTCAAATAGAGATTACCCTCTGGTAAAGTAACATAGCTATTGAAAATTGCCATTTATAGTGGATTTACCCATTAAAAACGGTGATTGTCCATAGTAATGTTAGTTTACCAGATGGTAGACACTGCCGCTGTTTCGGTTTCAGCCATCGGGTTGACCATGCTTGACTTTGCAGTGGGCCCTCAACGGGCGCACCACCGCGCAGCCCCACCTGTCCCAGGAAGCGTTCAGCGACCGCCACCAGGGCGTCTGCGGGCCACTCGGTGTACCAGTCGATGGTGCAGCAATTCACCAAGGAAGGGAATCTCGGAGGCGGAGGGTCATCCCAGTGGGTAAGGGGTAGTTACTGCCCAGATTTTTCTGGTTGGTGGTTGAGCCCTATATCCCTCTGATGAATGGTGATTTAATGGTGGTTAATGATGATTAATGATGGTTAATAATGACTGGTTGGTGGTTTGTTGACCAACCCCTCTGAAAAATGATGGAGTGAGTTCGTCAGTTGGGATGATTATTCCATTCCCAACATGATGGAAAAATAATCCAGCCATGTTCCAAACCACCAACCAGTCATTAATCACCATTAACCAACATCATTAACCATTATTATCCATATGATTACCATCATTAACCAGTCATTAATCACCAAGCAGTTTTCTTTGAGATAGGACTGGGGATTTTATCCATTGAATGGGGACCCTAGGATGATCCTCCAAGATCTCGAGATATCTCGAGCTTCCCTGGGTGAGTTCAATGGGATTCCAAGGGATTTGATGGAAATCGATCCGAATCCGCAGTCTATGTGATGGATTGATTGATTATCGTCGCCCTGGCTGGTTGATTCATTGATTAACTAACCTGGTTACCGTGGTTTTTATAGTTTTTTTATCATCTTGAAAAATCATGGAGTGAAAGTCAATGGGTTCCGGATGGCATCCCATATATATATATACATATATATATATTATGGAATTATGGAAAATAATCCAGCCATGTTTGAAACCACCAAGCAGTAACTTTTTGCAGTGATTGATTTTGTCGCCCCTTTGAATCCAAGGAACTGTCGAATTCGCGCCCGCCAGGCGTCACCAATGGGAGAGAAACATAGGACGATGGCCAGCAACTTTTGGCACCTTGCAGGTGGGTGAACCACCCCAGGTTCACGTGGATGGTGAGAGGCCACCGCCCAAGAAATCCAATTGGATTTCCCCAAGACTTCTGTGGAGTTGGTTCATGATAGATACGTTGATTCATCACCAGTGTAAGTGGGGTGAAAATATGTAAACATGGTAGATACGACTACGGTTCAAGGGATGTATAATAAACATATATAAACCCACAAACGTACTGTAACTGGAAGGACACCAGTTGCAAGGATGAGATGACAACCCAAAGACCGGAAAGTACACTGGCATGAAAGGACGTAACTGGCAAACTGGGAATATAGCTATGATGTCACGTAGGCAATCCAAGGATGCCCAAGAGCTATTACTTGTAATTTCATTCATGAAGTGAGGGCAACGATGCAGTAGTGATACTCAGGTAATTGAACAAACATTAAATGGCTGGTTGATTACATCATATTACATCCACAACAGTTTCATGTGCCTAAATTGAAAATACCTCACCTATGTAAGGTCTCTGCAAGGGCATATTCTTCCAAATACAGCATGGTTTGATACTTATTTAAACCTATGAAGTGATGGGATATGCGTAACACAAAATAGTGATAAAATAAGTTATATTATGTTATGTCAACAAAAACATATATTGCATCAAGGATATCAGCATATCCCAACAACCTTAGGACATTAGGGCAGGAGGAGATAGGGTAACAACAACTGGGATATCCTATGTTTCAAATAAGCAGCCGCGTCAGCTGCACCTCTGCACTTTCACGATTTTGAACCATGCAATTCACACGTATTTCCACTTTTCGAAGCGTGTTTCCATGTTCCAATACCCACAGGATCCATGGATGCTATATATGGTAACATTTACCATCAATATACCCCCAATGTTAGCATATATACCATATTATACCATACATGGATCCTATGGGATATATTGTTTTGGGATGTTTTGGGTTTCATGTGAGTTGGCAACCAGGCATTCCAAAGATCATCCAAGATCTCCGATCCTTAAATTCTTGAGGGGATCCAGTGGTTCCCTAAATCTTCCCAAATTTTCAATGGGAGATCTTCAGGATCCTAAAATGGAGGTACCTACCATATATAAGGCCTATTTCTTAGGCCTATGTAAGGGAATATCCCCAGAAAATATGGCCTTATATGGTACAGTACCTCCAATTTAGGTTCCTGAAATGGCCATTGACTTTTTGTGCGGTTAGAAACATATTCCTCAATAAGCCAGTATCAGTTAGTATAGACCCCTATTTTAGCCCATCAACAAAGGTATGTTGGATATGCTTTGACCCCACCTTTACAATCACCAGCCATCACCAGCCCCTGTCCCTGTGCCCCTCACCTCTCCACAAAGTAGGCATAAAGTTGGTTCGGCGTTCCCTGACACCAAGGACAGGACTGGTGTGGTGCATGACCCGTTTTCCAACAAACAACGAACAAAATAGATCCTAGGAAATGTGTTGGGAAGAAGTGTTCCTCTTACACATCTGGATCCATTTCAGAAAAAATCCAACCTAGCACATGGAATGGCTTCAATCTTGACATAGTTTCCCCCCATTTTTTGATATTCATACGCAAGTGAAACATCCATGAAAAATTCCACTCTTCAGCATCGATTTGGAGCTCCGTGAGTCGAGTGAAAGCTGGCAGTTCTGTCATCCCTGTCACTAAGGATTGCTGGGTATCGTAAGGAAAAGAAATCTGCAGGAAATCGTAGCTTTCACATGCTGAACAAACACGAAAACACATGATTCTACCATCCAAATGCTGCCTGCTTCTGGGCCCCGCAAGATGTCAGCGAAATTTGCTAAATCATCTCTTGGATGTTAAATCTTTGGATCGAAATACTCAATCCCAATGTTTCCTGGCTAAATCCCTCAGGTTCATGTTTAATCCCCAAGTTGTGCTGCTTCTAATCACCATCGTCCCTACTTAAATTATCATTTTCCGGGTTTATCCCTGTTCATTTTTTTAAAATTCCTTCATTTTTCTCCACAAAATTGGAATTCCTCCACTTTCAAAAACAAAAAAAAAAATCAGCCATTTTCCCGGTGAAGTCCGCCAAAATCCGCCATTTTCCCGCTCCAACTTCCGCCCTCAACGGCCCTTTCCACCACAGCCCGCCGCCTCCGGGGCCTTGCCTTCCTGGCGCGCCGCAGCGCGGACCATCTCACAGACCTGCACCCGTTCATCGGGCGCGAAGAGGTTGGGCACCTCTCCGGTGTTCCTGGAAGGCCATGGGGAGACGGGCTTTGCAAAGACGGGTGGAAGTTCTTCCAATGTTGTTTCGGGTACCCTTTGGTTATTTAACATAGCCATGGAAAATCACCATTTTAAATAGGTAACCCATCTATAAATGGACCATTTTCCAAGGCTATGTTAAATAACTGGGGGGGATATATAAGAATAAAATATCGATGTGGTCACAGGCAAATATGCATATGTATTTATAGTATATGTATCTATGTATAATTGTATTCATTATGGTTACTAGTAAGCAAAAATGATTCAACACTATTGTATGCACTATGCGTACATACAACCAATATACACCTATGTGTAAATAATAGCAGTAAATTCACATGTGTATACGATTATATCTAATAATATATATATAATTAGTGATATTTTAGCTTGCAGTGGATTGCCTTTTGTGCTTAGTGGTCATGATAGTAGTGAACTAATGGGGCACATGAAAGATGCATCAAACGACGTTAAAGAAATCATCGATCCAGGAATGGAGAAATGAACAAACAAATAAAACACCAAACCGGAAGTGAATTTCAACATATTTCCCAATCAGATTGGAAAGTAGAACGAAACATGGCCAAGGCAATGAGTTTGGGTCTGATGTCCTCTGGTCTTTCTCTATGGATCCAGGCACCTTCTGAGAAGCTACTGCGCACCCTAAATCACAACCTAAATCCTCGGAAAGCGCGGCTGGATTCATAGAGTCTGTGGCCAAAAGCCACTCTTTCCAGTTCAGCAGCACATCACCAGCTTCCATTGCCAGCTACCTTTGCAAGTCAAGTGGCAAAAGGTTGTTCAAATCCTCCACGAAACCCTCGCTCTTGATCCTCAGTTCCAGTGCTAGCAAAAATATCTCAACATTTCCTGCATGAATCACTACAATTTTGGGTGTTGTCACGGTTGACCCATACCCTCAAACTGATGCATGCATATGCATGCATGGACGATTTGATTGTGACCAAGAATTGCCGTGAGTCAATGGCAACAGCTCATATTTCTCCATAATGACACATCTACTGTTCATCAGTTTTTACAGTTTTGACCTAATCCCAGTGACAGCAGTTCCCCGGCCCTGTCGTCCCAGCAACTGTGAGTCTGAGAACAGGAAGACGGTCTTCTCACCTGCAAATAGGATCAAATAGGTCCCATGAATCGGAATTGATGCTTTTTGAATGGGTGTATCTTGGAAATACCCTCTGGTAAATTAACATAGACCCTGGCAGATAGGGGTTGGAAGATTAGTTTCCATTAAAACTAGGCTATTTTCAGGGTCTATCTTAATTTACCAGAGGGTACTGCATGCACTAAATAAAGGAGCCAGCTGATGATTAACAACAGGACATTGGGATATATTTTTTGACCATCAACTCGATAAATCATGGTAACGTGAGGATTACCCCCGTTGATTCATACTATCCAAATCTTATACAACCACTATTGAAAGTGATTTTGCTAGTAATACTGAATAGTGTTATTGGGATTATCACTGGGATTATCACTTATCTATGGCAAAATACTATTGAAAGGAATATCATCCCAGTGCTTTTGCTACATTTAACATCATTTAACCATTTAAAAGTGATCCCATTCTGCCACAACGAAGGGACATGGTCCTGACACCCTGCAATGGGTGACCACAAGTGACAGAAGCCCGGCCTTTGCCCCCGGCGCCGATCAGCAGTTTCTTCAAATCCTCACGGAATGCCACTTGGTCGTAGCCGCGAGCGATCTCGATCCTCGGCGTGTAGGCGATGTAATGGATTCATCCTTAAAAAATCCTCCAGGAATCTGGAAATATCGAAATATATCGACATGTATATGGATTATCGATATGAAAATCATGTTAAATGATGGTCAATGTTTATCCCACGTTTGTGGGCTCTTTTTGGGGTGACCATTCCCCAAAATGACCCAACATTTACAAGCAGGTGGTGAGATTGCTACCAACTTCTCCAAGATGGGTTCGCTTGGACGATTTGAAAACCAAAAGGGATAGCGCCGACGTACTCTGCATGACAAGCGGCTGGAAGACATTACCTTGGATGGCAACCATGATCTCTGGGGATATGGCAATGCACATCATGTGTTTTTGCTTACATTGTATACCCTGCAAACACGGAAATAATCAACCTATGCAACCAAGCCTATCAAGCCCGCAGCCTTTCATATCATATTCTATGTCCCTTCAAAACTTGTGGAACAGCTTCCCCACAGGAAATCTTATCTTCGAGCATGGAGTATTACGCAAAAGATTGAGCATTGCAGAAAAAAATTGAACCCTGCGCTGGTATCTTAGGAAATACTGCAAAATCCACGTAGGATATGACATGGCAATATGATTCATGTCTACGGTCCAGCTTGTCCAGCTTTCAGACATGGCCGTTCTCGCGGGGCTACGTCAAAAACAATTCCAATATATGCCAAACGAAACAACATGAAACAACATGAAACAACATGAAACAACTACATCCACAAAGCTTGACATGGAACATCATGCAACGCCTAAACTGGAACTACATGGGTTTGAACAAGGACGTTTCTACTGGATTACTGGTTCCATGATGATCCATCATGGAGGACTGCTTCTAGTAGGTCCACAACTCTTGAACAAGGAGTCTATGGTCCAGATGGTTATTGAATGATATTGACCTATTATAGCTGGAATGACCCTTCATCTTAGCCCTTTGATGGGTGAGAGGCGTATCCGCCTAGTTTGATGAAAAAAACAGATGTTTCTTTGCCGATCTCACAAATTATTTCATGAACATGCTACAATGTTTGATGATGGAATCCCTGTCTTTGTTTTATCGCGAACTCTTCTAGTTGGTGGTTTTAACGTGTTTTAACCATCTTGAAAAATATTAGTCAATGGGAAGGATTATCCCATATATCATGGAAAATAAAAAATGTTTGAAACCACCAACCAGTCTTAGTTTTAATGGTAGAATGCACCAAACAAGCATACTACTGGCTGATAAAAAATACCCTGCAAACAAGTCATTTTTTGACCTGCCGAAAGTGCCTTCCCCAACTGGAATTTGTCCTCCCCGCCCCCGGTATATATGTCATGGGGAGTCAACCACTCCCGAAAAGCTTTTTGACCACCAAGAACCGCATTTATTTTAGGGAAAAAAAATTACCATCTATTCTTCTGGAGATCACCTTTCGGGGAGATGAAAACATATTCAAATTCAAGCCAGTCATTCAATTCAGGTGTATATTCGGGTTTGCAAGTCAGCGTAGCTTTCAATACTATTTCATGGCCTAATTACTTGGATGATTCGGGACTATCACCATGACTTAGGCAACCTCCATAAGTCCAATGTGGGAAGCTGATAATAAACCATCCCTATGATCACCATTTAAACAAAATATGGGTGGGGTTTCAACATGTTTCAACCATTCCCATGTCATGGTTGAAATGTTGATCCGGTTGATGACATTTATCCAACATCTACAGTGCCCAAGCCAACCGCCAACCGCAGCTAAGTTGCAATCCGCCAGGAAACACGCCAACCTGCTGCAGCTTTGTCGTCCACTACCGCCGACGCCCACGAGCAACGCATTGCCCCCAGGCGTTTTGATGACACGTGCCACGCGGGACAAGTGTTCCAACATGTAGAGGAAACCTCAGCGGCTTGAGCTGGAAAAAAATGGGGAAATTGGATTGTTTTAAGGGAAAGTCTAGGAGGAAACCATGGTTTTTACCATCAAATATAAATACGGAAGACGAGGGAAACATTGGAGAAAAGATACCTAGCTAAAACCTGAGGGAAATCTGGAAAATACGTGGGTTGATCTGGTTTTACCATGTTTGGCGGGAATTGCTTAAACACATGCATACATATATCATATGCTGGTCAAATTATGTTGCTCCGTTTCAAAAACATACAATGCAATGTTTGTGGGTGACGCCTCATCTTGGCACACCTGATTTTCACAGAGGACTTGATGCATCATGTGGTCAAACAAAAAAACTGTGATTGTTTGTATGGCAGTTGCATGTAATTACCCTAGGATAATCCCACCGAAAAAAAGTTTCGCTGGGAAAATCATCTAAACATTCATGATGGATTTTCCACATTGAACTGTCAGCTTACCCTAGGGTATAGTTCTATGGTCATGGCGACTCAGCGATTATATAGTGTTTGCCCCCTCGAGGCTTCGGTTTTTGGTGTGTTCACCAGTTTTCATCAGTTTTCCCTGTACAAGTACCGTAAAAACTCCGTCATCAAAGGGTAAACATGGCTAGTCTGAGATACTCTTTGCAAACGATACATTTTTTGAATTCCCGATTCACCAGGGCATCATGTCACTATCCACTTAGATTTTCTGAAAAAGCGTTTCGGTCGGCAAAATCATCAGGAAACAGTCATCGGCAAAAGCATCCATTAAGCCGCCCAAGCAACACACCAAGTCCATTTTTTTGGTGGACATCAAATTGTACTGCTCCAAATGTGATTCGACCTGCGCAGCGCTTAAAAAAAAAACAGAAGTACTACGGGAGGCTGCGAAGTTGTGACGCATGGATTTGTTTAAAAGTGCTATTATTGCTATGAACACATAGTATCCCTTGATACTGGCAACCCCAAATGAAGAAACCATCATAAAACTTAACAATGAATTGGAGGGGTTACATCCCCAATACAGTTTTCAAAACACTACTGAAATCGCCCCCCCCCCAGTGGTCTGGCAAAATGCCTGGGTTAAGCAGCATGATCGGACTCCAAGCCCGCCAGATACATGTCATTGGAATTGGAATGGTTCAAAAAACCTCATGTATATATATATATATAATACACACTCAAATATGCATATATATATAATATTATATATATAGATATTTGTAGAGAGAGAGAGAGGTCACAAACAAATGGAAAACATCTTACCATCATGACCATCATGACCATCATGACCGTCATGGCCATCATGGCCATCATGGACCATCATGACCATCATGACCATCATGACCATCATGACCATCATGACCATCATGACCATCATGACCATCATGACCATCATGACCATCATGACCATCATGACCACCATCATCATCATCATCATCATCATCACCAGACTAGTAGTAATAAATGTGATTTTTCCGTCGAATCAAATAAACATAATTTTTGTAGAGAAACTATGCTACAACAACCGTCGGACGGCCTGTTCACGCGCGGCCGACTTGGTTTGTCATCTTTGCTGAGTCAGAAGTTGGGCTAGTTGAACAAGAAGTCAGCTAACATCACCCCCCCAGCGTGGCGTAGCATCAACAACGTGAGCAAGTTACATGGAACGTTAACATCCCCCCACCCCCCAGCGTGGCGTAGCATCAACAACGTGAGCAAGTTACATGGAACGTTAACATCCCCCCCACCCCAGCGTGGCGTAGCATCAACAACGTGAGCAAGTTACATGGAACGTTAACATCACCCCCCCCAGCGTGGCGTAGCATCAACAACGTGAGCAAGTTACATGGAACGTTAACATCCCCCCCACCCCAGCGTGGCGTAGCATCAACAACGTGAGCGAGTTACATGGAACGTTAACATCCCCCCCACCCCAGCGTGGCGTAGCATCAACAACGTGAGCAAGTTACATGGAACGTTAACATCCCCCCACCCCAGAGTGGCGTAGCATCAACAACGTGAGCAAGTTACATGGAACGCTAACATCCCCCCACCCCAGCGTGGCGTAGCATCAACAACGTGAGCAAGTTACATGGAACGCTAACATCCCCCCCTGTACCATCAGTTACATCAGTTGTTCCTGCCCCCCCCCTCCCCCCCCCAGGGCAGCATTGTAGAGAAGCAGAAAACACTGTAAAAAACGGTACAAAATGCACATTCAGGAGTGTGTGTGCGCGTGAACACCCCGTCGGAGGGAACAACAAGGTAGTGCAGGTATAAGTTGGTGCCTGTGGATATGTTTCTCAAAAACCTTTATTAATTTATATAGCTACGCAATGCTATACAATTACAATAAAAATAAACAATCTAGCTATCTAGTCAATGGGAATTTCAAGATCCTAAAATGGAGGTACTGTACCATATAAGGCCATATTTTGTGGGGATATTCCCTTACAGAGGCCTTATATAGGCCTTATATATGGTAGGTACCTCCAATTTAGGTTCCTGAAATGGCCATTGATCTACGGGCCCCTACCTTGTACCCAACCAACCAACACTCTACAACCCCCACTCTACCCTGCCTGTTGCTGCAGTTGCGGGATATCGGGACACTCCGTGTATGGTCGGTTCGGTGCAGCCGGCTGCGATAGCATGTCCTTGGTGGTAAAAACAGCACATGCGATGGGTGATTTATCATTAGATTGGTTGACAGGAAAATTTACCGGAACCTCCCATATTTAATGGTAAAAACCATGGTTTCCTGTAGATTTTCCCTTAAACCAATCCAATGAATTTAGGCACAAAGTGTGTGCACCGCAGTTTGTTCAGTTGGTGCAAACAACTATGCAGTAAGTGGGGTTTTTGCTACTGCGACCTTGCTCCTAAATTCACAACACAACTGAGGATACCTTGGACGTAAGCCGTCACCCACAGATCTACTGGTAGCAGTGACGACCAGAACTATCATCTCTTCAATTGGACGATTTTAGTACGGGTTTCCTATCAACCTTCATTGCCCCTTGGTTGGTGGGTGGGCTATGTCCAAAGGATACCTCATACATATCATACATACATACATTACACTATGTATATATGTATATACAGATTATACAGTATCATTTCATATCATTTCACACTGATATCCAGTCAAGAAAAAAATGCCCGACTCTGACCCAACCCCATATGAACTTGTGGGATTTGGTCGGAGCTAGAATCTGACATTGTGCAGTGGGGGTAACCAGCTTTTCACCGATGTTTGCCCACGTCTTCTCCCACCAGTCAGTATCTCACCATTTTGGTTGGTAACGTAATCACTCATCTGCAACACTGATGATATGATAATTCACAAGCCTGAAATCATGTCGTTTGGGAATGATTCGCCTTACTGCATTATGAAATATGAACCATTATCCCCTTATATAAACACACACATATATATATATAATAGCAATGTATATAATATATATAAGTTATAATATATAAAACTATATAACATTATATAACTATATTTATACACCGCACCATTATTAACCATCATTCAAATGTGACGTTAATGTTCCGCTACGTCACTTCCCCTACGTCAAGTTTCTCCAAAGATCAGGGTGCGAACTTCATCCAAGGTGGTGACCTAGGCATAGGCATCATAGGCTGCACGGAACTTGATGCAGCCTGTTGGGTTGGAGGATATAACCGTTACATGATAGTGGTATAGTAGTGGTATAATAGTGGTATAATAGTGGTTAATAATGGTTAATAATCGGATAATCTATATTAATAGTGGTTAATAGTGGTTAATAATGGTCAATGAGATATCTCGTGGATTACAGTATGGTTGATATATCATCATATTTGGGGGTTTCTTCAATTGGGGGTACCAAACAAATGGATGGTTTTTAAGGGAACATCCTATTAAAATGGATGATGTGAGGTACCCCTATTTCAGGAAACCTCCATAGATCTATTGTTCATGGTGGCTATGAACCCACTTGTAACTATGGTTTATGATGGTTTATGGTAGATATATCATATATCTGTAGTTCACGGTAGTTAACGAACAAATAAAACTAGGGAGATAATCTAGCATGATTTCCGGTTATTTATGATTATATACTGGTGCCCCACATATCATCAAGACATGGGGAGTCTCCGCTGAAAAAAAAACAATGATTATAATTAAAGGATGTCATTTTGAATTACCCTTGCTAAGCATGATGTACATGATATTTGTCCATATGTATGTTTCATTTTTTGTTTTGAGGCAGGACCATCCGTCTCTGTTAAAGTCAAACAATGCGCCAAGGACATCTGTGGTGACAATTCCCTTCACAAAACATTTCTGGGATTCTAAACCACCGGGCCATATCATACCACCAGCTCACAATTGGTTGAGCTTAGAGGGGTCTATGATGGTCTATGTTTCACAAACACCCACTACAGTAGTAGCTCAAGAAACTGGTTTCAAGCAACCTTACCTGAACTATCTTCAACCTACTTCTGACTTGGCATTGATTTGGTTATGTGGGCATGATTAAAGTAACAACGGTCACAGCCCGTTTACAACAACACACCGCACCTTGCCGTCGCCATTGTTGTCCTTGGCACCATCATGCGGTGTGACCAAGCAAATAATCAAAAAATCAGAATAACTGAAATTGGATCAGATTGATTCATCCAAACAAAAAAACATGTTTGTTTATGTTTGTTTACGTAAATAGATGCACATGATATACACATTTTTTTTGGAAACTGAAGTGGCTTGAACACTCCGAGTTCCACGGCTTCGCATTGGATCTGCTGGGCCGCTTGCAGACCTGTCCATCCCTGGTTCGATCCGTGTTGCTGTTGCTGTTGCTGTTGCTGCTGCTGCTGCTGCTGGTTGTGGTGATGATGGTGGTGGTGGTGGTGCTGTTGTGCTTGCTGTTGCTTGTTCTTGTTCTTGTTATTGTTCTTGTTCTTGTTCTTGTTCTTGCTGTTGTTGCTGTTGCTGTTGCTGTTGCTGTTGCTGTTGCTGTTGCTGTTGCTGTTGCTGTTGTTGTTGTTGTTGTTGATGTTGTTATTGTTGTATTGTGTGTTGTTGCTTGTTTTTTGTTTGTTGTTGCTTGTTGTTGCTTGTCGCTGCTTGTTGCTGGTGCTAGTGTTGTTGTTGTTGTTACTGTTGTTGTTGTCGTTGTTGTTGCTGTTGCTGTTGCTGACGCTGTCGCTGTTGCTGTTGCTGTCGCTGTCGCTGTCGCTGTTGCTGTTGCTGTCGCTGTCGCTGTTGCTGCTGCTGCTGTTGTTGTTGTTGTTGTTGTTGCTGTTGTTGCTGTTGTGGTTGGTGATGTTGTTGTTGTTGTTGTTGTTGTTGTTGTTGTGATTGTTGTGATTGTTGTGATTGTCATTGCATGTTGTTGCTGTCGTCGTCGTCGTCGTTGTTCTTGTTGTTGTTGTTGCTGCTGTTGTTGTTGTTGCTGTTGTTGTTGTTGCTGTCGTTGTTGTCGTTGTTGTTGTTGTTGTCGTTGTTGTTCTTGTTGTGCTAATTGTTCTTTTTGTTTTTGTTTGAGCAAAATGATCCAAATGATCAAAATGCAATTCATTTGCTGAATGCTCATGTTTGTCAAAATGTGTCCATGAGATCCCTGGAAGTCCAAGACACCAAGTGCTTGAAGACTTCGTCGAAGCCCTGCCCAAAGACGTTCTTGGTCACGGCACGCACCTGACAGGATGATACCCTCTGATTCCCTGATAATCAAACATACATGGACACTTAAAATGGGAACATCATCTATAAATTGCAGGATTTTCTGTTGCTATGTTTGATGACCGGAGAGGCTCTCTATAAGGACCTATTTTTCACATCTGACCCATCGGTCCAATTTTCTCTACTTCCGAATGCATGCTAGTCAAGTAAGCTGGGGATCCATGATGCCCTCTGGTAAGTTGAACAGTTTGCCACAGTTTCTTTTCAGGTAAATCATTGAACTAGAGCAAGTGTCCACAGCTATATTTTTAATTTAAATTGCCAGGGAGAACTTGTTGATCTAAGCCCCTTAAAAAATGTGTACATCAACCTGGGTAAAAGGTATTTAAATAATAAGACTGCAATTTGTTTGATATAAACCTTCAACTCATGTAGTAAGCACCTTCAATCAATATCACTATATATATATTTATGTATCTATTTGAACTGCTAATTTGTTTAATTCACCAATAAATGAATTAAACAAATTTGGAAAACTGTGGTTAGTTTAGTGTTGAGTTTGGGCATTCACCATCCCACATGGCTTCCAAGTTTAGTGGTGGGATTCCATTCGCATCTACCAATGCTGGATTCAGGCGCCACTGTCAGGCCCAATGAACAACACTAACAACAAAAAAAATGAAGCATGGAACTGAAATCCTGATCCAAGTATTTGACTATATTATATTGCACTAACTAACCATTTATTTTTGAAGGATAATGAAGGTTGACATAGGTTGACTGCAGCACTAAGGAGCCACGACTGCTAGTGAGGCCAACTTCCTCCATATTTTAGCTGAGGAAGAGTCAACCACCCAAAGGTGGTTGGTCAAACCCTGCAAAAGGTCCTTTGAACATGTTGGCCTATTGATCCTATTGGATATGTTTAAGCTCCACCTCAGGAATCGTAAGGGCTAAGGGCTCAACTTGACCGACAGGGTCAAGTTTTGATGAAATTTCCTCGGTGCGTGCGCGTGTGTCGAACACACACACATATTATATATATATATATATATGTGCGCATGTATTTATTATAATATTTATATACTTGTTGATGGAGCCTGGCTGAATTATCACAACTCACCAACCGGAAAATAGCTGAAACAAAACCGCTATGTGGGAATGATCCCCCACAAAGACTCACCATTCCAGTGATGTCACGGTTGGGCCACAAATTCATCCAACTAAATAATTCACCACAACGTGGGCCACCTCCCGAATAGCTAGGTTGGTGAACATAACTTTAATAACTTTGGATTATGATATACTTATAAGTTATAACATCTTATGACTATAGTACTCATGGGGTATAAATGGGCTATTTACGGGCTTTGTCAATTAACTTAGCTATCTGGGGCCCGAAACATCGCAACCATTGCGAAACTCACGCCTGCTCCAACATCCAGAGACGATCTTCGTTGACCACCAACCGATCCCCAATGACACGCCAGATCCTGAGATCAACATCATCCCAGTTATGGGGCTATACTATGGTATACTGATATCTTACGATTAGTGATGAACAATGTGCCGCACAGTATTGATATAATAATTATGATAAGTGTGATACATAATTGGGATTGGTGTGTAATTAGCACACAATAAGCCACCAGTGGGGACGACTCTCTACTTTTTTGGGTACCATGGTTGTTTCCCAAGTCTCATAGAGGATAACCCTTATCGCAATGGTGGGAAGCACCCATGCGACCAAAAATCAACACTACGCCGAACAAGGAACATAGTCCAACAACAGCATCATCACGGGAGGGAAATCACCACAAGACTGCGCAACCTGATTTTTATCGAATTCTAAAGTCCACTGGAAGACTGCAAGCATCTGCAAGCTGTATGGAGCTCAGTTTACACGTATGTTTCACTGACTCATGATCTTTCTGCGCGGTATTTCTTGGGGTAACACCCCATGGTACTGCCAAACCTAGCAACTGCGCAGAACCACAGGAGATCACAGAACTAAGTTGAAGAAGGACCACTTGCGATTCCAACTGATTCCTGATTCCTTGCAGATTTTTGAGAAGGATTCACCAAACTGAAAATAGCAGCCAAATAGCCTTAAATAGATATGATCATAATAATATTCTATAATAGCTATTTGATAAATATGTTCACCAAATAGATATTAGCCAAATAGATTAATTAAGTCATAATATAAATAGCTCAAAAGTCGTTCGGCATTTGGTGATGGTTCTCCTTAGATTTCCCCGTGATCTCTCCCGATCTGAAACACTCACTCCCAGCTTCTCATGCACCCAAAGGCGAACGTGACGCGCCACACCATCACACTCCTGAGATCACACACATGCCCCCAACAACTGGGAAAAACCATATATTCCCCAAATGTTCTCATATACACCATATGTATTTGTGGCATATTAGTGGCATTCATATATGTGGCATTAATATACGGTTGACATTAACATGTTGCCTGTGACATTTTGACCATCCACGTGTCAACGCCAGGGTCCAGGTGGACCTGTGTTTAGTCCCTAGCGGCCCTAGCGTCCTGTTTCTTCATGAGCAGCACACCGAAGATAATCTTCGCAAAGTCGCGCAGGTTGAAGGTATAATGAACCTGCCAAAGTCTGCCGGGCACTGGCAACCTATGCATCCCAAAAAAGCGGCCGGGATGACCAATGATGATCATCCGTATGGGAGAGACGAGACTTGGTTCCCATGGGTCCCATGACATGTTTCCCAGTAAAATAATTAGTTTAATAATGTTTACTATGTTTTTATATTTCCATCGAAGGTTTCTGCGAAGATCTATTCTGTCGCACGTTCGTCTTTTTGGCTTCAGGAAGCATCGAACTTTGAGCATGGAGCTGGAACGTCACGTGCTTTTGTGAATTCAGTGGGCGCAAAAGCCCGGAACCGGGATGGAGGAAGTTGGAATAGGCACATCTCTTTCAGCCGCATTCACGAGACAAGAATTGGCACGCTCTTTAGTTTCTGACAATGGCTGAGGCAATGCCTGGTAAATCTCAAGAATTGGGCCTGAACAATGAACAAGGTCTTGTCCCATTCCTCCAAAATCGCAACTCTTCTCTCTGTACTATAGAGAAGAAATTTACGTGGCTGCCTGTGGCTCGTTTTGCGTGTCAGCAGTCCCTTCTGAAATCCTGAAATTGGTCTGAATTCATCCAAGAAATGTCTTGGTCTTAGGGACTTCCCCATCCTGCTACACCCAAACATGTATCAACTTAGATATATAATGATATATAGTGTCTTCCACGCTTGAGCCACTGCTGATCTGCTCAGGATGAACTGCTGGGTCAGCATCCCAAACTGCTCACATAGCTTAACATTCAAAGAGAAAATTCAAATTAGATTCAATAGATCTAGATTTGGTATCTAGATGTAGTCTTTCCAACACAAAGCGGCTTCTATGATTCTCCTAGAAATGCTCTGACTAGACCCTTGCAGAGAAGTTTCTATGATTATTCTCCTCGCAGCAGTATTCATCCGGCAAGCTGCCCTCATCTGCCCTCCGTCTGTGGGATCTTGCGCATGGAAATCTAGCAAGAACATGTCTGATTCAGGATATTCATGTCAAACTACATTTGTTAAACAAAATATACATTGCATTGCATTCCCTCATTCCTGCACTGTTTGACGTGTACGTTTACATTTGCGTTTGCCAGTTACATTACATTTACAATACATTTGTTTAATTTATCTTTTTTAAAAATTGTTTGCTACTCACGCATGCCACAATTATGAAAACGTATGAAAAAGTATACGGTTTAAAACGCATATGTGTTTCACACCTAGGAGCTATACAAATATTAAATCAGTATCCCCTTCTTTCAGGCACAAGATGCGGTCGGGTCGCGTCGCGGCTTTGCTGCCATCGGCTGCGATCAGACGGATAGATTCAGGCAGGGTTACCCGCTCTTGACCTATTCTGTCGCACGTTCGTCTTTTTGGCTTCGGGAAGCATCGAGCTTTGAGCCTGGAGCTGGAACCGTCACGTGAGCGATCGGCAAAACCTCAATTGAAAAATGCGATCTTCGGGTCAAAGTTATCGTTTTTGGGAGTTCACTATATCGTTTTACAGTATATCCTGATTGCATCATTTGCATCCCGTGGCAAACTGCGTGCGGAAAGCCTTTTTACACCTCCACTTCAGCGTCTGAAGCATGTTTGACTACCCTGCGCTTCCCTGAGGATCCGATATTGAAAAAAATCAATTCTGATCAATCCTGATCAATAATATTGAAAATGATTTTTTTCAATACCAGGAAAATATGTTTTTCAATATCGAGGATTGAAAGAAAAGATCAATATTTCCAATCAATATCGATCAATAGCATGATCAATATCATATAGTAGTATCATCAGCAAGTCAAGACCATCATCAGTCTTCAGCTACAATTGTCAGATCCATTTTTCAAGCATGTAGGGGGCCATTAGAGGCATTCACAACGCGCAAGCTTCTATTTCATACTCATATGTGCCAGAGCTGTTTTTGCTTATAGCAGGTTTAAACTCATTGCCTGGTCTGGGCCTGGAAGAAGGCCATTCTCCAAAGTTTTGGGGTTTCAGCTGGTGTGTTGTGGGCTTGAAAGATCAATCATCTTCAAGGGATTTGAATCTGAGGATTTTCAGCTTGCTAGGGCTTGAAAGAAAGCCATGACATCCAAGGGTGGAGCACGCAGGTCATTGGTGCCACCAGTGGACTTGGATGCTTTGCGAAAAATTTTTGAGACAGCTGTGGCCACCCAAGGTGCTGATGCTTTTAAACTTGGTGACTATCAGGAGAAAAGTGTAAGCACAGCTGTGAGCTCTGCAGGTTTGCACCACAATGCAAAGTATGTCAAGGAGTTCTACAAAATCTCAGAAGGAGAAATTCCCTCTGGGCAGTTGAAGCAGTGCATCCTCAAATATGGGTACACTCACAACGACAGTGAGTGGAAGGATGACCTGTGGGCAGGCAAGTTTGCAAGTCAATTTGTCTGCTTGCTCAGCCATGTGAGAAGACTGAAAAGAGACTCTTCGAAACTAAGGCAGTGCCTGCAGGGAGCTACAGGGGCTGAAAGGCAATCCATTCTTGAAATTGTGGATTTGCCAGATGCTTGCAAGAAAGCAGCCCCAGGTCCTGAGGATGACCAGGCCTGCAAGAAGGCCAAAGCTGCCAAGGAGACTTCTTCTGCGAAAGCTGCAGAGGCTGGTGGCCAAGGAAGTTCCAGCTCTGCTTCTTTGAAAGAACCCGAGGAGCAGGCCTGCAAGAAGGCCAGAACTTTGAAACTACAAGTTTCAGATGTTTCTGTGGACTCCCATGGCTGGCCAGCCATTCTCAATTCTCCAAAGGCTGCAAAAGAAGAAGAAGAAGAAGTGAAAGATTGCTTTTCCAGAAACATGACAATTCTGGAAAAAATGAGGGTAAGCTGCAAGGAGCAGCTGGATAAAGCTGCACAAGAGGCAGCCCAAGAGTTGGTTGAGAGCAGACCAGGGCTTGAAAGAAGGTCAGAAATCCAAAAAAAGCCAGCCAGCAAAGAATGCAAAAAAAAGCCAGCTTCGAAGAAAGCTTCCTTGCCCAAGGCAAAAAGCTTAAGGCCTGAAAGAAGGCCCACAGAGAAGCAAGGACCAAAAAAAGAAGCAGCACCACAGCCAGAACCATTGGTGGCAGCAGAAGGGCCAAGGCCTGAAAGAAGGCCATGGTCAGCAGTGAAAAAAGTCATGGGCAAGGACCAAGCCTATCTCATGGGCCTTTTTGGAAGAGATTGGAAGCTCATCATTGGCTGCACCAAAAGAATGGGAAAGATTTTCCCAGGTGGGCATCACGCTGTGATTTTGGAGCTGGAAAAGGTGGCCATGGAGGAGGACATAACAAAGGAAAACATGAAAGAAAAAAGAGACGATTTAGTCAAAAATGTAGATTGAATGCCTGAAAGAAGGCATACACCTTTCTAACAGGGCAAGGCCTGAAAGAAGGCCACTAGGAGGGTTCAGGCCGCAGCCATGTGCAAAGCACATGGCCAGGACTTTTTTCTTGGCCAAAAAAAATTGTGGTTTGGGGTTTGGGTAAAGTGTTTGTTTTTGTGGGGCAGGGGATAGCCAACGAAATTTAAAGAAAAACCTCACCGTTTTCACTGTCATTCTTTTTGTACTTAGGTTATGACCTGAGTGTTCCAGGGGTGTTATGTTCACCAAAAAGGGTTTAACATAGTAGGCGAAAGCAATCTGTTTGTCGCCTGCAGCCTTTTGAGCCTCAAAACCGAAGATAGGTGGGGGGGCACCTTTCAACCGCTAAGCGCACTTCAACTTAAGGCCTGCAAGAAGGCCCAGCAATTCAATCACTTGCAAATCTTCCAGCTCAAGGCCTGCAAGAAGGCCATCTGAAACCACATGACCTGGTGGGTAGGCCGAGCTTATGCTGGCTATGTGCCCTGGGGTCATGAAAAGGATTGGGATGATGGCGACACCTGGACTGGCTGGGAAAGGGAGCCTGATAGGGAGCTGAGAGACAGGGAGAGAAGGTGGAGGGACAGGGATGAGGAGGAGGAATCATCCTCTGACAACTCCCTGCGCAGGGGGCAGAGGAGACAGGAGGAGGAGGCTCCCAGAAGCACACAGGGCCGCCTCTTTGGCCCAAGCCCTGCAGAGGCAGCCAGGGAAGGCCTGCAAGAAGGCCAAAAAGGGAAAAGCAAAGGCAAAGCCAAGGCCAAAGAAAAGGGGTCAGGTGCAAGCAGCAGCAGGCCTGAAAGAAGGCCAGCTTTTGTCCCTGAGCATCGACCAGGGGAGGAGGATTGGGACCCTTTCAGGCAAGAAGCCAGGGGCAAGAGGGGAAGGGAAGCGAGAAAGGCTTTGAGGGCCAGAGACCCTGAAGTCCAAGCCAGGAAAGAGAAGGGCCTGAAAGAAGGCTTTAAGGAAGACAAGGTTCAGCCTTTGCATGAAGGGAGCAGGAAATGGAGGATGATCAAGGAGAGGGAGAAGGAGGTGAAGGAGGAGGAGGAGCAACTAATGCTTGAAAGAAAGCAGTTGCTGGAAGAGAAGGCAGCCTTCTTGGAAGAGAAGGCTGCATGGCTCAGCAAGCAGGAGATGAGCCCCAGCCCTGCCAGAGGGGTTGTCCTGCAGGAAGGGCCAGGGGCCAGGCCTGAAAGAAGGCCAAAAAGGAAGGACAGCAGCAGCAGCAGGCCTGAAAGAAGGCCAAAAAGGAAGGACAGCAGCAGCAGCAGGCCTGAAAGAAGGCCTAAACAAAAAGCCGGCAGATCCTCCTCCTCTTCTTATTCATATGAATACAGTGAAGAGGAGGAGGTATTTGTGGAGGAGGAGCAGCCAGACTGGCAGGAGGAGGAGGAGGAGAAAGAGGAAAAGGAGGAGGAGGAGCAGCCAAAGAAAAAGGACCCCAAGGACAAGGAAAAGAAAGCTGCAAAGGAGGAGGAGGAGCGAAAGGAGAAAAAGGTTTCCAAGGAAAAGGAAGCTGCAAAGAAGGAGAAGAAGCCCCAAAAGGAAGAGAAGCCCAAGGAGAAGGAGAAGGAAGATGACAAGGATATGGAGGAGGGGAAAACAGCCAAGAAGCGAAAGGAAAGGAAGAAAGTGGTCAAGGAGGAGGAGGAGGGGCAGGAGGAG